GTGTACCGGTAGACAAGACTACCCTTCCACCACCGCGAGCCTCGCCCTGCTGAGCCGCGTCCTAGTTGGTGGCCATACCTAGGAGAGTTGGATCCAAAAGATGCCACCAATTCGCCGAGCGAGTGAAAGACCTAGCTAGTTGAGAAGCTCCATTCAAGCTCCTACCTGCTACCTAGCAGGAGAAGAGATGAAGCAGGCGCTAGAACCTAGATGGCGGGGACTGGCCGATCGATGAGGGGATGAGAGTGGCGGCTAATGCGTGCACGTGGGCGGCTGTCCTGAGGGGGGGTGGGATGGAAAGTCAAATCCAGAGGTTCATAAACTTAGCCAACTCCACGTTAGCATTACACATGTACTGTATCATTACAGTACTAGAGCTGTTTAACGTTGGGAGCTGAACAGTGTTGCTAGTGTTAACAGTAACAACAGAACAACAGTGGGGCTCCCCAACAACAGTAGCTAACGTTAGGCCGGCTGAACAACAATAAGGAAGGCCTGGCAGTGACCCACGACGACCTCCAGTGTCCAGTGCGGGTAATACCCGAAAATACCCGGGAAAACCCAGGTATTTTCGGGTTTTACCCGGGTTTTTTGCCGTTTTCTGCTTGCTGGCCGCTGAACAACAGTAACAACAGTAACAAACAGTAACAGCATGGGCTGGGGTGAACACTTGAACAACGTTAAGGATTTCAGCCAACACTAGCGCAACTGTTAGGCCCAAAGTTAATGTTAAACAGCTCTATACAGTACGGTAGGCAAATAGGTGCAAGAACGCATGGCAGCGTGCGACGTGACCGAGGCTCAGAAAATAAAAGAAAAACAGCCTAACCCCAGTAGGTATAACGCCGAGTGCCAGACCACCAGGGGGCAAGTGTGTGTAGCACCTTCGACCCCGAAATGAAGGTCGCCACGCAAAACCGGGCGCTAGGAGAGGTGAACTGAAGGCTGAGACAACGGAGGCCGAGCCTGAGTGGGCGCCCGCGCGCCCCCACGCAGGCAAGCCTCTGTCCTTCGGCCCACTCCGGCGATCGTCCGTGGGCGACCGCCAACAACACGAAGCCTAATCAATTCCCTCACCACCCGACCCCCCTCTAGGGACAGCAGCGCGCTTCTCATCCCGGAGAGGGAAGGAGGGGGGGGGGGGGGGAGATCAGAGAGCCAAGGCACGGGAGTACCCCCGACGGACGCGAGTTGGAGGGAAAGCGAGACGAGAGATTCAAGGCGAACTTCATCACCCGTCCAGGAGCCCCGCATTAGGTAGCGACCCCAGGTTCAGAGCTAGGCTTCCCGACAGGGCAGGGAACCCCCAGCGCGCAGGCGGGGCCCACGGTAGCCTCGTGCAGTACGCGATACCGAGAGCTGGGGGAGAGGCGCGCCACGCCAAGGGGGACGAGTGACGGGAGGGGGAGAGTAGTGTCTTTCGCAGGGTAAAACGCAATTTTTTCCCCCGGACCCCCCGCGGCATCTGGGGCCGGGGGCCGTGCTCACAGTCACACGTGCACAACGTGCAACCGCACACCAATCCGAATGGCCATCGATGTCCCCGGTCTGCATCATCTACTCCCCCGACTGTCTCCCGTGTGTCTTTCGCCCAACCAGACCCTGACCCCACTTCCCCCTCCCCCCCGCCCTTGCCCGCTCCGACGCTCTTGTCCCAAGCGGCCGAAGCGCGCCCCAAGAGAGGGAGACCCCCCCCCCCCCCCCGCACCCCCCGCACCCCACCCCCACCGCCGCTGTACGTCATGCTCCGCAGCCGCAGCTGCTGTTCTCTCTGCCGTGCTCGCGCGGCGGTCCCGCAGGAACCCGCGCCCTTGCCGCCCGGCCGGGGCTGGAGAGGCTCACCAGAGGTCGATGCCGCGCTCCTCGCACACGGCCACCAGCTCAGGCTGCTCCAGGTTGTAGTTGTCCACCATGAGCGCCTGCACGCGAGGGGAGGTGCGATGAGCATTGGGCGAGAGAGGGGCGTGTGGCGAGGGGGGGCGTCTCGCGCCCACAAGCTCGGGGCGGCCCCCTCCTTGAGGGCGGCGGCCAGCGCCTTGCAGCCCTCGTCGCCAATCTGGTTGCCGTTGAGAGAGAGCTTCTCGAGCCGCGGCGCTGCCCCCTCCTTGCCGAGGGCGGCGGCCAGCGCCTTGCAGCCCTCGTCGCCAATCTTGTTGGGGGCGAGATCGAGCTCCTCGAGCCGCGGCGCTGCCCCGCTCGCGAGGACCTCCGCCAGCTGCGCCGCCTCCGCGTCGCCCCAGCCGAGGCCGAAGTAGTTCAGCACGGTCGCCTTGCCAAACTGCTCCTTGAAGGCGGCCTCGTACAGCCGCTTCACCAGCGGCTTGTCGTCCTTGCCGTTGGTGAAGCTCTTCTTCTCCAGCTCCGCCGCGAACGCAGACGGCAGCAGCGGAGGGCGCCGGCCGCCGTCCTGGGTGCAGTCGTCGATGAGGCTGTCCCAGTCGTACTCCTTGCCGGCGCGCATCTTGCCGAGGTCGAGCGAGAGGGCGCCGGCCTTTGTCAGGCCAGCCCAGCACTGCTCCGTGTAGCACCAGCCGCGGTCAAAGTACTTGGCCACGTTGGTGCCCTCGGCCTGCTCCTCCGCCTTGTGGCCGTCCGGGAAGGAGGTCAGCCGCAGCACCCAAGTGTACTTGTGGGAGTAGAGCGTGCCGAGGCAGCCCAAACCCTCCTTGAAGAGCGCGTTCTGCTCCTCGGTGCGCAGGACGCCGTTGGGGGGGTCGGGGTGCTGGTGCAGCGAGCCGAAGTCCCAAAAGATGCCGAGCCGCGTGATGTAGGGGTGACGGAGCAGGGCCTTCAGCGCCCTTGCGACGCGGGCGAGGTTGGCTCCGAGCGGGTCGGGGTGGTCCTTGGTCAGCCACGGGTAGGAGAGCGCGGCGACGGGAAGGTAGGCCTCCTTGCCGGTCGCCTCGACGAGGTCGGCGAAAGAGAGGAAGGCCTCTTTGGGCAGCGCCTGACGGTGGGTGAGGACGCCGCCCGCCTCGGCGTGGCTGATGACCCACTGCGCGTCGAGGACGGCGACGGCGCCGCTCGCGAGGACCGGCTCGAGGTCGCCACCGCCGTGCTCCCGCCACAGCTCCAGCTTCTCCTCGCTCACGCCGAGATCGGTGGCGGAGGGGAGGGCGTCGGCCGGCTGCGTTGGCGCGGCGGTGTCGGCGGGCGTCGGGGCGTCGAGTTCGACGGCGGGAGGGCCGAGCGGCTCCTCGGTCGGGGCCTCGACGCGGCTGGAGAAGCAGCCCATCGCTTCGTCTGCCTGTGTAAGGCCGATCGACTTTGACAGCTAGGCGTCCGAGTTGGCGATCGGCTTTCCAAAGGACACAGGTTCTCCTCGCCCTGGCCAAGGTCATGCGGAGCGTGTGGGGCATGCTCGTCGAGGTGGAGCCGCGGGACCACCTCGGCTACTCTAACGACTACCGGCCCGACGTCTCGGTGGCGGGCGCCGGCCGCTCGCGCTCGCGCCTCGTCGGCGACGTCAAGTTCAAGGACTCGCTCTCCTCCAACCCGGAGGACGTCGGCCAGCGAGCGAGGCGCTTTCGTCGGCCTCGGCAACACCGAGCCCGGCACGAGCGCGGACGTCTTCGGCCTCGAGCAGCGCGGCGCCGTCGGGGACGGCGACTTCAGGCCGAGCGACGGCGGCGGCTATGTGGCGTACAAGAAGGCGGACTACGCGCACGCCCTCTCGCGCTCGGACACCGACGTGCAGATGTACCTGTTTGAAACCTTCGGCGGGTGGTGCAACGCGGTCAAACGGCTGTTCTACCAGATGAAGGACAAGGTGCGCAACAAGCTCTCGAAGCGGCAGCACGAGGACGAGGCGAGCTGGTCGACGCGGTCGTGGCTTTCGCTGCAGGCCCAGCGCATGTCAGTCGCGCTGCAGCTCGCGGCGGCGGAAGAGATTGCGACCGAGCTCAGGCTCGCCGCGGCGTCGGAGGACGCCGCCGTCGCCTAGACTCCCCTGCGTCACTACGTGCCTCCCCGTCTTTGTAGCCTGGCGTTTGTGCCCCGTTTGTGCCGCGTCCCGTGCCCCCGAGTTCATTTTATTATTTTTATTCTCTCGAGGTTCTCGAGGTGGATATCCTTTGGCCGCGTTGGGTAGCGAGGATTGGTGTAACCCGAGACACAGGTGACCCGTGTGCGGGTTACAATCGGAATTCTCACTTTGGGACACGGGTGGTGGTGGTCCTCGGGTGGTGTTGGGACTTGGGCTGTCACACCGTCGATTTCTGCGATTTGTGCGAAGCGCGCGATTTCTGCGCGGAGCTCGCCGTGGCCCCGCGCGGCCGTACCTACTCGCGTTTTCGGCCCACCACCCTCGACCGAGCTCACCACCATCGCGTACGCACGTTTTATCGTGTGCGCGACGCGCTCGATCACCACCGCGGTGGCGACAAGAGCGCCTTTTCAACACGCTGCGATGGCGGTGTGCAGCACCAGCCGTCACGGCTTCCTGCGCCGCGTCGAGGCTCACCGAGCGGGAACGTAGGTCGACTCGACACGGCACGGCCCCAAACATCCCACGTCGCGCTCGCGTTCTGCCAGCTCTCTCCCCGCAGTCGCTGCTGCTCACGCTCTCGCCGCGCGTCTCCTGTGCTGCACGGCCACACGTGCGCCGCCCGTCCGCCGCGCGGGAGCGAAGCGCTCTTTGGTGGCGACACGAGCTGCTGTGCCATCGACTCTCGGCAGCCAAGGGATTCTGCCAAAGACATACTCCGCCTTTCCCTGACACGCCGTCAAACCAAAATGGCAAGGCTACCCTCGCCTCGCCGGCAAGAAGACTGCCGGAGACGTGTGCGCATCGCACGGTGGCTTATATGTGCCCAGCTTCCGAGCGTCAGCAGCCTGTGAGATTTCGCAGCTCGATCAGCGCTCCTCACACACCAGCCGACACACCGGTCACCGCTCACGCAGAGCCGACACGCCGGCGCATCTCATCTCTATGTGGACGTGCAGCGCGCAGCGCAAGCGCTCTCAAGCGAAGGAGAAAACTAAAGATGCTCCTCATTAGATTTCAGTTATTTTTTGCCTCCACTACGATACTGTGCGCACTGCCCGAGGCGGAAAAAACAGCCACGGCCTCAACTGCCGGACGGGCGTATTTGCAGGCGCGTTGTGTGTCGTGAAACGCCCGTCCCTGGAAACGTTCAGAGGTAGGACGACCGGTCGCCGTGCGCCTTGCATCCCACCGACTCATCGTAATCGTGCGTCAGCTCATCGTCGCCCGCTTCGATTAATGCGCGCGTTCACTATGTTGCGAACGGGCTCGGGCTGGTAGAGCGAGCCGAGACGCGATGCACGTTGCACAGCCGCGCGTGCGAGAAATACGCGTGGCAAATCTCGGGAACTTGCACCGCATACACACCGTTGCCCGACAGGCAGCAGGTGCGCACCGGCCGTCGCCGCACCGGCGACCAGCGCTCTGAAGTCGGCGAGCGCTAGCCGCTGGTTGACGAGGTTGGGCCAGCGGTAGGCCCTCAGGCTTTTGGCTCGCCACCGAGCAATGTGTCGCCGAGCGATGCGCCGCCGAGCGAAGAGAATGGCGCCAGACAGACATAAGCTCGGTCTGAGGTTCCGCCTAGATGCACGACGTCAGCGGCGCGCCGGGCAAATGTCTCGTGACAAATCATTTCCCTGCGCCACCAAAGAGCGCTTCGCTCCCGCGCGGCGGACGGGCGGCGCACGTGTGGCCGTGCAGCACAGGAGACGCGCGGCGAGAGCGTGAGCAGCAGCGACTGCGGGGAGAGAGCTGGCAGAACGCGAGCGCGACGTGGGATGTTTGGGGCCGTGCCGTGTCGAGTCGACCTACGTTCCCGCTCGGCGAGCCTCGACGCGGCGCAGGAAGCCGTGACGGCTGGTGCTGCACACCGCCATCGCAGCGTGTTGAAAAGGCGCTCTTGTCGCCACCGCGGTGGTGATCGAGCGCGTCGCGCACACGATAAAACGTGCGTACGCGATGGTGGTGAGCTCGGTCGAGGGTGGTGGGCCGAAAACGCGAGTAGGTACGGCCGCGCGGGGCCACGGCGAGCTCCGCGCAGAAATCGCGCGCTTCGCACAAATCGCAGAAATCGACGGTGTGACAGCCCAAGTCCCAACACCACCCGAGGACCACCACCACCCGTGTCCCATCTCCCTCTCTCTCTCTCGTCTCTCTCGTCTCTCTCCCTCTCTCCCTCTCTCTCTCGTCTCTCTCCCTCTCTCCCTCTCTCTCTCGTCTCTCTCTCGTCTCTCTCGTCTCTCTCTCTCTCTCTCTCTCTCTCTCTTAATGATCGGGTATTAATTATTAATTATTAATCATTGAGCGGCGGCGCGGCGCTGCGGCGGGCGGCGCGAGGCGGCGGCGCGGCGAGGCAGCGGGCGACGCAGGGCGGCGCGAGGGTGAGTTGAACAGGGGTTGTGCGCCAAGCCCTCCTGCTCGGCTCCAGCGAGTAGACAAGTGTTACCATCAACAGAGGAGAAGGATATGACCTCAGGGCTGATGTGACCAAGCGCTGGTAGCGTGGTTTTACCTCACACCCATGGTCTCACAGTGTGCCGGCAGTCGCCGAGCAGTGTCGCTCACACAAGCCGCAGCACAAGTGACTGAGGGCCAGTGAGGGCGAGCCCATCGCTGTCACAGCTGTGGCAGCCGCACAGTGTAGGCTGTGTCAGCTGTGCAGAGTGTGTGAGCAGCAGAGGAGCTGCTCTCCAGGCTTCTGTCGCAAAGAGCTGCATGCCACCGAAAGCGCTGTCGAGGTTCGCCGAGCGCGGCGCAGGTTGGAGGACTCTGGGCCGGCGCGGGGCCCCCCGGAGGCACCGTGCGCCGCGCCGCAGTGCGGAAACGGGGCCCCGGCTCCGCTAGTCTCCGCTAGCACCGACTTCCCGATTAAGTACGGTTAATCAGAGGGCAGATTTGGAGAGATCTCGAGGAGTACATACAGATAGACCCTCCAACCATCAGAAAACTCCGACCTGATCGGTCGTACTGACCGCCGACAGATCACTCCAGACAGCAGACAGGCCGACGCCTGCACGCGGCCGGCCGGGCGAGAGGCTTGACACGATCCGACCCTGCGACCCTGACGCTGCTGCTCTAGCTATCAGCCATGCACTGCTGACTGCTGCCACAATGTGCGACCTGTGCTGGCCCACTTGGCGGCCTTCCCGGTCAGTGGTGAGGCGCAGTTCAGAGCTGTCGATGGCGCGATGCCGCACTGGTCCCACATTGGTGACACGATACCACCAAGCTTGCCGGTCCAAGAGAGAGGCACCGGCGCTGTCCTGAGAAGGTGCGTGGTCCCTCTTGACTGCCCATGCGCGCGAGGCTGTGTAGGCATAGCCTCGAGAGTGCCAGCAGCCAATCCGAGGTGACGCGCATTGCGCCAGAAGCGTGCACACGATGGAAGGACACCTTCCTACTGGCCGTACGATCAGGTCGTCACTGAATGCTTGATACTAAGGCCGCGAGCTATGCAGGTGATCAATTGTGCTTCATGGCACGGTCAGCTGCGCCGACAGGCTGTAGCAAGGCGTGATAGCATGGCCGCAAGTACGCCGAATTCCCATGAAAACAAGTAAAAAAACGCCAAAAAAGAAAACAATCCGAAAAAATCGGCGCCTGCGGCGGGCCATGGGACCCCATCTCCCCCCCGCATGGACACCCTCTGGGGCCCCCGCGCCGGCCCAGAGTTGGAGGACACCGTCACCGACGAGCGCGTTGGACTTTTCACTCCGGACAAGGACGGGGACACAGCGGACGGTGCGGGGTGTGTCCCCGTCTAGCGGCGAGGCGCGGGACCGTCTGTGGCGAAGTGGGTCGCTTCCTCCGATATTGTTCAACCCAGCATCCACACTGTTAGAGGGCCCACAGCGTCCCAATCTAAAATCTGAGGATTCAGGATCAGGCATCGCTTCAGTGGGGCCAAAGTGAGTTTATGGATGTGTGAGAACGGTACGGGACACGAGGAGGCACGCGGACCAACTCGTCGGCGACTCTGCTGCACGGCGTTTCAGAATTTTTCTCAGCGTGAGCGAGACGTGGAAGAGTGCCACCGTCGGGTAGGACGGGTCGGCCCGGAGCATCAGAGTAGCCGTCGTGGTCGCGGCGAGCAGCGCCGGCCACTCCGGCGCCGCGTCGGCAACATGGGAGCATGTCCACCGCCACTTCGCGGTCGCAGTGCTGTTTTGTCGCCAAACGCCGCATGTACCTCTGGCGGGCCAAAGATCGACTCGCATGTCGATTTCGACTTGACGGCGGCATGGAGGCATCACGTCTCCATGCCGCCGTCAAGTCGGAGCCAGTCTGCGGCGATCACAGCGCTCGCAGGAGGTACATGCGAGCTTTTCCGAGTCAAGCGATTGCGCGAAATCCCACAGTGGTGGATTTTGGTGCGCTGTGCACCCCCTATACCACACCCTTTATCACCTGCTGCGCCGTGTGGATCTCCTTCGTGTCGCAGAATAAGAACACTCGAGCCACGAGCGCGCCCAGACGCTATGCGCCACACTGAACGAGCCCCGTGGACCAGGGTTGATTTGAGTCTAACGACCAGAGTTTGCTACAGTTGGGCCAACGTGCGGACAGAGAGACCAGACGAGCCAAAGACCCAACTCTCTCTCTCCGGCCGTCGCCTCAACGGCACCCGGCACTCTCCAGCCGCGATGCCTCATCCTGCGTCGCCCGGCGCCATCCCCGTCGCCTCGAAGGACGCCTCGCTGCCCATCCTTGCGGCGGCGCCTCCTGCCGCGTCGAGCTCCAGCAGCAGCGCCTGCGCCTCGTCCACCGAGGGGTCGCCTGTGAGGAATAATGAATGGCTAATTAGGGGGTCGCAGCAGCGGCTTCGCCTTATCCACCGAGGGGTCGCCGTCGAGCTTCCACCCTTCGGCAAGGATCGCCTTGGAGGGCGGGTGGGGGGGGGGGCACCACGGTTAGCGAAGGTTATTCATTACTGGCAATTGCTCATTCTTAGGATCGCCGCGAGAGGGGGTCACCGCGCGGCCAGCTACACGTTACTTAATCATGGGCAGCTGTTGCTCGCTACTAGGACCGCCTTGAAGGTGTCGTAGAACCGCGTCAGCTTCTCCCCAAGCTCCGCCGCCCTCCGCCGCTGCGCCGGCGCCGCCTGATAACTAACCACTAGTCAATGAGAGTGGGTTGATCAGATCGGCCTTTCGCCGCCGCGGCGGCGCCGCCTCGCCCTCCCCTCGCGCGAACACGGCGAGCCGCTGCTGCAGCGCCTGTGGGTAGGGTAAGGTAAGGTAAGGTACGGTACGGTCAGCTTCTCCACACACACACGAGGTGGCGGGGCAGGGGCCAGGCTAGTCCCTCGCGACTCCACGTCTAGACGACAGGAGCCGCACGGCATTCAAGGTGCGCGTGGGTGAGGTGTGTGTGTGTGTGTGTGTGTGTGTGTGTGTGTGTGTGTGTGTGTGTGCGTGTGTGTGTGTGTGTGTGTGCGCGCGCGCGCGTGTGTGTGTGTGTGAGTGTGTGTGTGTGTGTGTGTGTGTGTGTGTGTGTGTGTGTGTGTGTGAGTGTGTGTGTGTGTGTGTGTGTGTGTGTGTGTGAGGTGTGTGTGTCTGTGTGTGCGTGTGTGAGTGTGTGTGTGTGTGTGTGTGTGTGTGTGTGTGTGTGTGTGTGTGTGAAGTACTCTTGCCAGTTGCTTACTTCATAACCATAAATACATTGACTAATTGTGAACTACTGCATGAGGCGGCGCCTGGTACTCTTGCCAGCTGGTCGGCATCGGGTGCTGCGCCGCGTAAGGCGCGTCCGGGATGTCGCCCTCATCGTACTTCATGTACCTGCGGAGATATGGGCGAGATATGGGCGAGATATGGGCGAGATATGGGCGAGATATGGTTCAGATATGGGCGAGATATGGGCGAGATATGGTCGAGATCGGACATCGCCATGCATCGTCCTTCTCGACCAGTCTCCACCAGTCTCGTCCGATCTCGACCGATCTCGGCGGATCTCGGCCGGTCTCGGCGGATCTCGACCAATCTCCTCCGATCTCGGCGGATCTCGGCGGAGCTCGCACTTGTATTGCGGCTCCACATACTCCGCCGTCTCCACCTCCGTCACCTCCTCGATGGCCTCGGCGCCGCTCTTCGTCTCGAGCGCCTCCCTCGACAGCGCGGCCAGCTCCTCCGCCGAGTACGTCGACACCACCGACCAGTCCTCGCGCTGCAGAAAGTTCGGCTCTTCGGCCGCGCCCGTGTCTCGGAGGCCGATCGTGGTGGCAAAGGGGCCGACGTCGAAGGTGCGCAGCCGCGGGTCCGTGACCGCGTCGTCCTCGTCGCTCTCGACCGGGTCGATCCCCGGACCGGACTTGAGCGACAGCAGCGGCGCCACCTTGCCGTCGCCGTCCGCGTCGTCGCTCGGTGCGGCGGCCATGCGCGGCGCGCAGGCGACGGCGCGGCGAGGCGCGGTCAGCAGGAAGGGCGCAGAGGCGCGGCCGACGGCGAGCGAGTGCGCCGCCGACGCGGCGAGCAGCAGCAGCAGCGGCTCGACGCGCCGCCGCCACGCTTGCAACGAGGCCGCCATCAGATCTGGATTCGGTTCCCCCGCCGGTAGGGGAGGTGAATGCTCCGAGCGACGCGTGCCGGATGGAGTTCTCATTGGTGGAGTATAGGTACGAGGGTGGTGGGGCATCTCTTGCGGGTCTCGCCAGGGGCGCCTACCAACCTCGCTTGCGAGGGGCGTGTGGCATGTCTGAACGGACTCGTGAGGGGCGCCTGCCAACCTCGCTTCGTCGACGCGGCGCTTTGTACCCACACCCACCCCGCCGCATTCGTCGCCGGCGCGCGACAGGCTCCCGTCGGCCGGACTGCCCTCGACGAGTGGGTGTCGCCAACCAAAGCGACACGCACTCGAGGGTAGGCTGATAACTGCACTCCAAGTGCTCCAAGGAACAGGGGCCGGGATGTTGCGACGGAGGGCCGGAGCTATGGGCTGGCGCCACGACGTTGCAGGACACGGAGGGGTGGAAGGAGCTGGTGAAGGCGGGAAAGATTCTGCTCTTCGACGAGGATCGGGCGGTGGTGATGCGATATGCTCCAGGGGAAGTAGACGTCGTCCGCCGCCGCCTCCGCCGCCCGCGTGCCTCCGCCCCGCTCAGCAAAAAATCAGCATTATATCAGGAGGTGCCAAAGCCGCAGCATCTCCATGAGATGAGCGTCGTGCGTTTTGCCGCCGCGTGCCGCCGCTGCGCCGACTGGCTCCCGGTTCGAATCGTCCTTCGCGGAGCGAACGCGGCGACACGAGCGCACGTCGCGCGCGTGTGCGCCTGCGACAAGACGAGACGAGACGAGAAGAGAAGGAGAAGTAGACGGTTGATGTTTTTGCTGCCGCGGCCGCGCCGCGAGCTCGCGTCTGTTTTGGCGCCGACGACGCGACGCGCCCCGCTGCGTGAGATGGCGCCGCCGCGGAGTCGGCGCCGCGATCAACCGCGCGCCAGCGGCGAGCGGCGCAGCGCGGCCACCATGCGGCGTGAGTGAGTGAGTATTCTTGATACGAAACCACGACGACACACACCAGTCGACTCGCATCGGTTGCCTCCATGAACGGCGGAGCTATTCTCGCGCCCACACCACACCTGGCTCCAACGTGGACACGCCCATAGCTGGGGACACTACTAGGTCACGCATGGCATCACAGAAGTTTTATCTCTGGGCCCCGAAAGGCATCTCTAGCAGTGTCGCTACACATGCCCCCTCCCCTCCTGGGCGCATGCGCCTCACGTCTCGCCAGAGCATAAGCCCTTGGCGTGTGGCGAGACGAGTTTTTCGCCATGCAGCGAGCAGCAAGCCGCCCGCCGCAAACAGCCGGAGGCCTCGCCGCGGCACTGGCTGCGCCGCGGTCCCGCACACACACACACACACACACACACACACACACACACACACACCATGCGGCGCGACGTGCCCGCCGCCGCTTTTTTTCTTTTTTTCAGGCCCACAAAACGGGCTGCCCCCTCGCGGGTTCTCGCCCGCCACCCTGCCACCCTCCGCCCCTCCAGCAGTAGAAACACCCATTGCCACTGTATCGTACGCACCTCTGCCAGCCCTCGCCTGCGTCCGGTCTCTCACCACCGCTCGCAGCGGACGCCGCTCTCGCCGCCGCCACCGCCCGCGCGACCGCCCGCGTGACCGCTCTACACAGGCTCCACGCACGCGCAGCGGGCCGCTATGTCTTTGGGCGGTGGCGCCTACTTTGAGGAGCGGAACGCCAAGGAGGGCGTGCCGTACGATGCCGCTTCTCTCCCAGACATGAGCGCCGTGTTTGGGCCGTCGAAGGCGGAGAAGGAGGCGCAGGCGGAGGAGGAGAAGAAGAAGGAGGAGCCGCTGCCGAAGGCGCGCCGCCTCCCCGCAGACGCAGCCGCCGCGGCTCGCGCAGCACGCACGCACGCAGCACACGCACACCTTCTCTGTGCGGCAGCGGCAGCAGCGGCGCCGCCACAGGCGTCCGAAGCCGACACCGTTTGGGACAGGTGCCGCCGCTGCCTATGACGGTCGACGCGGCGTACGAGTTCCTCGGCATCGCGCCGCCCGACCGAGGCGAGAAACCCGAGACGCCTCCGAGACACTACCGAGACGCTTCCGAGACACTACCGAGACGCTTCCGAGACACTTCCGAGACACGTCACTGTCTTTCGCGTTCTCGGAGCCCGTGGGAGCCTGCCTGGAGCCTTCCTCCCGCAGGCAGCCTCGAGAAGCTGAAGAGACACTTCCGAGACACTTCCGAGACACTTCCTCCCGCAGGCAGCCTCGAGAAGCTGAAGATGCGGTTCCGCAAGATGAGCCTCAAGTGGCACCCCGACAAGAACATCCGCCGGCCAGAGGTGGAGGACTAGCCGAGAGATCGCCGAGAGATCGCCGAGAGATCGCCGAGAGATCGCCGAGAGATCACAGAGAGATCGCAGAGAGATCGCAGAGAGGTCGCAGGTCGCATAGGATTCGCAAAGAGAACACAGAACAACGCAAAGTGGTAACTTAAAACAACGCAAGGGGTCTCCGGTAGCTACACGTCTCAGAAGCTCGACCCCGCATCTCGGCTCGATCTCGCCCCCCCAGGCGGCGGCGGAGGTGTTCAAGGCTGTCAACGCGGCGTACCATACGCTGACGACAAACAACTTCGACTACAAACGGCGGGCCTCGCCGAGCGCGCGCCGCGGCCCAAGCCGGCGACCAATTCGTGCGGACGAGTGATAACAGGTCCCCCCGTCCCGCCCCCACTCACACCCACAACACGCGCACTGGGCGGGCTCTTTTCATGTGGGATGGAGAGAGCCCCGCCCCCCGCCGCCTTCTGTAGAGTGTACCTTGCCTCAACTCACCTCTCAGTCCTAGTCCTTCACGATTCCTCCGCACACCTCCCATCTCTCCCCTATCTCTCCGCACACCTCCCCATGTCTCGCCATCTCTCAGGTGGTCCGAGTCCTTCACGATCCCCCCGATGCAGTCGCTCGAGGACGTGCTGGTGATGGCGCTCAAGGGCGCCATTGCGAGATTGCACGAGATTGCACGAGAGTGCACGAGATTGCACGAGAGTGCACGAGAGTGCACGAGATTGACACCACAGACCACGGCGTGGGCGGCGTCTCGTCACGGCTGGAGGTGTGAACAGGCGCCGACCCTTACCAGGCCCCGTCGTGCTGCTCATTCGACGCGCAAGCTTCTTCAGCCACTGGTTAGCGATGCTACTGATTTGGTCAGGTCGAGATTCCATCTGGTGCATCTGCACACCCACGAGATTGCGCGAGATTGTGCCACGGCCTGACCAGGTCGAGATGCTGCTTAAAAAGCGGGGCGACTACCGGCCGCACCAAGACTTCGGCGTCAACCTCTCCATCCCGTGGAACGCGGGCAGCCGCGAGGACCAATTCATTTCCAGCGCCAGTGGGGTGGCGACAGGTCGAGTCGCTTCATGGCTGCAGCTGTGAACAGGACCCGTCCTACCACGTGCACACCGGCTCGGCGTACCACACGACGCGAGGGCCTCGAGGACCAAGGCACTGGGCGGTGGGGCGGTTTTCTCTTCACGGCTGGAGGTGTGAGCAGGCGCGGGCTCGAGGACAGAGGAAAGGCCGAGCTGGGATACGACGGCAGCGCTTCCGGTGACGCGGGTTGGGGGGGTGAGATGCCGAGGCGACGGCGACGACTTCACAGACGGCGGGCTTTGAACAGGCGACGCGTATGGAGGGCAGATTGTGAGGCACGTCGAGACTCAAGATTTGCTCGACCAGTTTGGGGCGAAGGCGCAGGTGGGAGCAGACAGGGACGCGAGGCCTTGGGAGACGGTGGGAGGAGTGGGCTTTGGCGGGGGCGGCGGCGGCAGCGGCGGCGGCGGTGCGCCCAAGGCGGCGTATGCGAAGCCGAAGGGGCGGGCGGGGGGGCGGCGTCTCTTCACAGCTGCTGGCTGTGAACAGGCGTACGCGAAGCCGAAGGGCCGGCCGGACTTGACTTCGCAGAGCGAGGGGGCGAGGGAGGCGGCGGAGGGGTTCAACGACCAGGCAGTCAAGGCGTTCAAGGCGAAGGACTGGCAGCGCTGCTACGACCTCTCCTCCGAGGCGATCCGACTCAACCCGCGCAAGACGGCATATCTCGGTCGATCTCGCATCCGCCTGACAGGTCGAGTCAATTGATAGCAAGCAGTTTTAATTAATCACGTTAATTAATTAATAGGCAACCGCGCCGCTGCGGCGCTGAAGATCAAGTCGCGCAAGATGCTGAAGCAGGCGGCGGAGGATTCGGTGGCGGAGATTCGCCGAGATTCGCCGAGAGACGACGCACGAATCGAACGATGAAGTGGACGCATCGCATCCATTGGCTTATAGGTGCGGGCGTACGTACCGATGGAGCACCTCCACCCATGATTGGTTAACCAATTCGTTAATGGATGCGTTAATAAAACAGGTCCTCGCGTACGAGATGGACCACTTCCTCAATGACTGGTTAATTGAGTTGTTAATTAACTAATCACAGGTCCTCGCGTACGAGATGGACCACCTCTACGCTAAGGCGTACGTGCGGGCGGCGCAGGCGAGAGATCGCCGAGAGATCGCCGAGAGATCGCCGAGAGATCGCCGACGGTCTCTCCGACCCTTACGCAGAGGCGCGAGAGATCGCCGAGAGATCGCCGAGAGATGACCGATAGCTCGCCGAGATATGGCCGAAGAGATCGCCCAGAGATGGCCGAGAGAAGACCGAGAGAGACGGCCGAGATAGATTCGGCGGCTGTGGACGGCGCCTCTTCACAGCGGCGCGGTGTGAAAACAGGCGCACCTCGAGCTGGGCGAGCGAGCGACGGTGAAGCTGGCGGTGCAGGCGCGCGCACGCGCCGTGAGTTTACTCCTTTCTTCCTTGGTACACATGGCCGTGGAGCTGGCGAGTGCCGGGAGCGCGGGGGGGGGGGGCAGAAGCAAAGAGAAGCTGCAAGGAAAAGAGAGCGCGGGGGATAGCGTGGGTTCGGGGCGGGAGACGCTGGGCTGATCTCGGCTGACCTCGGGTGATCTCCGCTGATCTCGGCTGACCTCGGCTGACCTCGGCTCACCTCGGCTGATCTCGGCTGCATCTCGGCTGACCTCGGCTCACCTCGGCATTAGGAGTGGGAGAAGGCGCTCGAGCTCGACCCGGACAACAAGTGGAGATTAGCCGAGATTCAACCGAGCTGCGATGCGAGATGCGATGCGATGCGAGATGCGATGCGAGATGAGGGGACTGAGACACCATCAGCCTTCCCCTTCAAACCACCCTGTCCACACATCCTTTCCTCTCGATCACCCGCCTTCAATCGCCCCTCCGCCGCCCCTCCCTCCTCGTCCCCTATCCATCCCCAGCACACATGGACATGGACATGGGGTTGCGCTTGGCGTGAACGGCGTCTCTTCACACCCCTTGCTGTGAAGCAGGTCGTACAAGGAGGGGCTCAAGGACGCGCAGCTCACGTGGGAAGCCGACTGGGCGTAGAAGTAGAGCCGGGGAGAGGGAGGGGGGAGGGGCTCGGCGCGCGCTGTGGAGCCGGGGCAGCCAGGGCGCTACGGCAAGGCTGCAAGCCCGCGCAGCCGCGCCAGACGCTTAGAGAAAAGACCTTGCGCGCACGCACCTCCTGGTGGTGAGGAACAGGAAGGTGGCCGGAGTATGGTTCGGATGGGCTATATGTAATCTTTTTTGCGAGCACGCCGCGTCGTTCCCTCCTTCACCCGCGCTTAGCGGCGACACCGGTGGCGACGAATCTCAGCGCGTCGTGGGCCGTGAGGGCCTGCACGTGTGGCCGTGGCGTGCCGTCCGTGGCGCGTGGGCCGTAACTATACGGCGATCCGCGGCGTGTGCGGAGGCTCGAGGATGCCACTTGCCAACGGCAGGTTAGCCGGCCGCGCGGCCTCCCGGGGGCCGCCTTGAAGGGGGGCGGACAGCCATGGAGGTCACCGAATGGAGGGCGAACGGCACGATACGAAAAGGCAGGGCGAGGCGGATGGAGAAAGAAGTGCCGAGAAGGCCATGGTGGAGGGGAGGGACGGGAGGACGAAAGAAGGGCGGGGAGGACGAGCGGCCCGCACAGACCGCGAGCAGACAGCGCCTGCTGGCCATTTCGAGACATTCGCCAAGAACGCTAGCTACATGGGAGGGCTTCGTGAAGGATGGATTGAAAAACATTCGAACAAAGAAGAGGCGACGGGAGGAACCGGCGGAGGATGCAGTGACGTGAGACACACACACACACACACACACACACACACACACACACACACACACACACACACACACACACACACACACACACACACACACACACACACACACACACACACCGCTCACCCACGCGCACTGGGCCTTGCACTTTGAATGCCGTGGGGCTCCTGTCGTCAGACGTGGAGACGCGAGGGTTGCCCCCCCTTGCCCCACCACCTCGTGTGTGTGGAGAAGTTTACCTTACCTTACCTTACCGTCGGCGCTGCACGTGAGGCATAGCTACCCCAACGCCCTGCGAGCTTCCCCGCGCGCCCTGGGCGCCTCGGCGACCCCCCTCGCGAACCCTGTATTGTTACTTTTTTTAACAATATATACACTGACACTCTACCTCCCAGAGCTCGTCCCGGTCCGCCACGGCCATCCTTGGCCTCCGGACGGAGGGCCCCCGGCCGCGGCGCGGTGCGGCGGCGTCACAAATCCGACCACAGTAGCACCGGGACGCGGTCGGGCGATCTGAGGCCCAACTAGGCGTATGCATTGCCCATCCAGGGCTATCACCTGGACCCATCAACAGGCGCCTGCGGCGCCGTGGTCACGAGGTGTTGTTCACACCTGGGCAAGCATTCATGCAGCACAGTACGCGCTAAAGTACCGCTCGGCGAACATCCTCGCCAAAAGCAAGACTCGAGCACTCAACACCCTCTCCACACCCCGTACGTGAATGGGCTTTCGTTTTTAAACAAATTAAAGGCTCTGGCCCACCCACGACGTCGACGAGCGGGACGAACGTGTATACGTACCCTATGGCTTCGGCCTTCGCCAACGCCACACGCACCGATGTTCGTGGTTGCCGTAGCTGCGCCGAAAAGCAGAGAGGCGTGTGGCCCATTGCCCCATTCCCCATTGCCCGGAGGCCCGGCGAGTCTCTCAGCCCGTGATGAAGTCGTCGAGCGGCGGCGGCCTTCCGACGGCAATCCTGCCCACGCGGCCGTCGGGGAAGGTCCAGCGCACCGGCACGCCGAACTGGGCGAGCGCGTTGACCCAGCCTGTTCACGGCTAATGAGTAATGAACAATGAATCATTAACAATTAACTGGGCATGGAAGGGCGCGCGCGCGTCGGCTAGTTAGCTAGAGGTGTGACGGCAGTCTGACCAGCCACTGGGCACCAGCAGGCGGTACGGGCGGATGCAAGCGAGGCGGAGACACGGCCACACTGGAGGGATACACAGACACAGGCTAGACACGCACGGCTCGTTGGTGTGAGACGGGCGCTGCTTTGACAGGCGCTGTTCACAAGCGCTGACTCCGATGCCCCTGGGCCAGATCTCGGACGGATCTCGGCTGCATCTCGGCTGCATCTCGGCTAGATCTCAGCTGAGCAACGCGGACTCGGAGAAGGCGCGCAAGGTGAGGAGCGAGCCTGAGATACGGGGAGATATGGGGAGGTATGGGGAGATATGGGGAGATGGCATGGTGAGGAGCAAGCCTGAGGCGAACAGACGCCAATCTGCTAGGCACACGAATGTGAGTCGAGGAAGCGCGCAGCTAAGGGGGGGAGCTAAGGGGAGGAAGGAACCGTCCCCGCCCGCAAACGCGAGGATCAGCGACGCCTGTCGAGCAATGAGAGCTCGAAGATCACAACCGATGTGACGGGGCTCGCCTCGGCTGTCTCTCGGCGGCTTCGACGCCTCCTCCACCCGCGCCTCGCCGCGCGCGAGCTCCTGTTCACAGCGGCGTCAGGTGTGAACGGCGTCTCTTCAAGCAGGCGGGCGGTGGGGCAAGGAAGGGGGGGAAGGCAAGCTAGATCGGCTGATCCCTCGGCTGCCTCTCGGCTGCCTCTCGGCTGCCTCTCGGCTGCCTCTCGGCTGCCTCTCGGCTGTCTCTCGGCTGCCTCTCGGCTGCCTCTCGGCTGCCTCTCGGCTGCCTCGCGGCTGCCTCTCGGCTGCCTCTCGGCTGCCTCTCGGCTGCCTCTCGGCTGCCTCTCGGCTGCCTCGCGGCTGCCTCTCGGCTGCCTCTCGGCTGTCTCTAAGCTGTCTCTAAGCTGTCTCTAAGCTGTCTCTAAGCTGTCTCTAAGCTATCTCTAAGCTATCTCTAAGCTGTCTCTAAGCTGTCTCTAAGCTATCTCTAAGCTGTCTCTAAGCTGTCTCTAAGCTGTCTCTAAGCTGTCTCTAAGCTGTCTCTAAGCTGTCTCTAAGCTGTCTCTAAGCTGTCTCTAAGCTGTCTCTAAGCTGTCTCTAAGCTGTCTCTAAGCTGTCTCTAAGCTGTCTCTAAGCTGTCTCTAAGCTGTCTCTAAGCTGTCTCTAAGCTGTCTCTAAGCTGTCTCTAAGCTGTCTCTAAGCTGTCTCTAAGCTGTCTCTAAGCTGTCTCTAAGCTGTCTCTAAGCTGTCTCTAAGCTGTCTCTAAGCTGTCTCTAAGCTGTCTCTAAGCGGGCTCCTTGCATGTGCTCGGCCGCAGCTCCGGCGGCTTGTCGTACAGAAGCAAGTGCGGAGGCCGCAGCACCGCCCACCGCGCCTTTCCGTCGAGATGCGCCGAGCTCAGCCGAGATCTGGCCGAGATCTAGCCGAGATCAGACTCTGACCGACGTCAGGCGAGATCAGAGATCTGGCCGAGGTCTGGCCGAGGTCTGGCCGAGGTCTGACCGAGATTTGATCGAGATTCGGCCGAGATATGACCGAGATGCAGCCCCTTTCGCCTTCCATGTCGACCCCCGTCGCGCTGCCGACGCCATCCCCTCCCGCCGGTGCAGAGTGCCTAGTCATCAACGAGTTCGTTGTCATGCAATCTCGCGCAATCTCGTGCGATCCCCCCCCCTCTCGCAGCGCGCCCGTCCGCGCAGCGCCGAAGTACGCGAGCTCCTCGCTCACGCTCTCCAGGGTCCAGTCGTCGCCGCCTGTTCACAGCCAGAGGTGTGAACAAAACCAGCTCCCTCGCTCACGCTCTCCAAAGTCGCCGCCTGCATCCGCCGCCGCCGCCGCCGGGTCCGGTGCCGTCGCCTGTTCACCAGCTAGTCGATGAGTCATCAGCAGTAATCAGTCATTCTAGTTGATTAGCCGCCGCCGGGTCCGGTGGCGTCGCCTGTTAGCCGTGCGGTGATCTCGAGTGCGATCTCGAGTGCGATCTCGCGGTGATCTCGCGGTGATCTCGAGTCTGATCTCCAGCCCGATGTCGAGAGTAATCTCGCGGTGATCTCGCGATGATCTCGCGGTGATCTCGCCTTGGTCGGCCGGAGCTGCGGCGAGGAGGGCGCGGACCGCGCGCCTATGGATTACTGATTAGTTGGTCATCACCAGCAGCGACTAATTAATGAGGACAGCGCTGGCCCGCTCGCCTGTTCATCAGCTAGCTGATGAGTCATCAGCAGCAATCAGTTATTACGTACGGGCGCTGGCTGCGCGCCTCCGGCAGCGGGGTGTGCCGCCCCGCCAAGCCTCTCCGCCCTCCCCTCCCCTCCCCCCTCCCCTCCCGCCTCCCTCCTCCCCTCCCTCCTCCCCGGATCAACCCCGCCCGGATCCGACTCTCGCCTCGTCCCGATCCCGACCACGGCGTCGTCAGACGCCGGGGAGGCGCCTGTTCACAGCTGGCCGAGGTGTGAACAGGGGACCCGCCGCCCCTCGCCGCCGTCATACGCAAGCGAGCCGCCTCGACTCGCCGCCCCCCTCGCCGCCGCCGCCGCCGCCGCTGCCGCCGCCACTGCCGCCGCCGCCGCCGCTGCTGCTGCTGCTGCTGCTGCCTCCTCCTCCGCTGCACTCACCGCCGACCAATGACTCACCGGCTGTAGGCGAAGCTGCACGCGGCAGCCCTCGCCCACCCCTCCCTCCGCGGCCAGCGCGACGTTGACACGCCAGCAGGGGGGAGGGGGGGGAGGGGGGGGAGGGGGAGGGGGCGGAGGAGGAGACGGCGTGGTCGGCCTCGAAGATGGCCTAAGTCTCGCGACAAGCCTCGGGTGGCGCCTCTGGCACTTCCTTCCGGGAGAGGGGAATGGAAGGGGAGGGAGGGGGGGGGGGGGGGGGTCTGCTGGCCTCGAGGCTTGCGCGCTCCCGCCGCTGCCTCCTCCTCCTCCTCCTCCTCCCCATGGCGTGCCGGGCCGGGACGCGCCTGCCGCCTCGGGTCACTCTCAGGTCAATCTCAGGTCAATCTCAGGTCAATCTCGGGTCAATCTCGGGTCAATCTCAGGTCAATCTCGGGTCAATCTCGGGTCAATCTCAGGTCAATCTCAGGTCAATCTCAGGTCAATCTCAGGTCAATCTCAGGTCAATCTCAGGTCAATCTCGGGTCAATCTGGGGTTAATCTCGAATGTATCCCGAGCGAAATCTCGGCTGCATCTCGGCTGCATCTCGGCTGCATCTCGCGCCCAGCAGCGGCGACGCGCGTCCGGACGAGGGCTGCGAGGGCGGCTGCGAGGCGGGGCGGGAGGCGGGGCTGGCGGGCCGGCTCCCCGACCGCGCGCCTGTGGGGAGATGCGACCTCGGCGTCATCTCGGGTGAGCTCAGGTCTTCTCGGGTCATCTCGGGGTGAGCTCAGGTCTTCTCGGGTCATCTCGGGTGAGCTCGGGTGAGCTCGGGTGAGCTGGGGTGAGCTCGGGTGAGCTCGGGTCATCTCGGGTGAGCTGGGGTGAGCTCGGGAGATCGATTGGATCCAATGCTGACCCGTCTCTGGCCATGGTTGGCCCTCCCGTGATTGATCCGTCCACAGCACGCCCGCGCTTTCTCACAGATCCCATAGTTCCACGCCCCGGTCCATAGCTGATCCGCACAGAGCCCACCCTTCCACAGCTGCCCCGTCTCACACCCGTCCATGGCTGACTTGCTCTCATGCACATAGCTCTTCCCATAGCTGCGCTCATCCATAGCTTTGCCCGTCCATCTCTTTCGCCCTGCAGGCCCGAGCATGCCCACATGGCAGGCCCGTAGCATACCCGCCCGTACCAGCCATTGCTCGTCCATTGCTGCCCCGTCCATTGCTGACCGTCCATGGCTGACTTGCTCTCATCTGCACATGGCTGGTCCCATAGCTTTGCCCGTCCATCTCTGGTCCCACAGCTTTGCCCGTCCATCTCTTTCGCCCTGCCCAACCTCTGGTGAACTAGGATCATATCGCGACATCTCGGGCGATCTCGGCTCATCGCGCCGGTCGGCGGCGCGGCGGCGCGGGCGTCGCGAGAGGCGGCAGCGATGGCGTGCACAATGTCGCCGACCTGTTCACAGCGCAGCGCGTGTGAAGAGACGCCGTTCACAGCTGGCGGTGGCGTGGGCCACGCTTCCGCCCACCCACGCGCCCGCCTCCGCCGCCGACGGCGCCGCCATCTCGTGCGTGCGGCCGTCCCTCTCCCGGAGGAGGATGCGGGCGGAGCGGGAGCCGGCGGCGGGGGAGTGGAGAGGGTTCGAGACGGTGGCACCGCGCAAGTCCACCTTGGGGAACAAAGGGAGGGGGGGCGGTCGGCTGCAGGCGTGGGAGAGACGGCGGCAGACGGTAGCAAGTCCACCATATCTCCCCATCTCTCCCCATATCTCCACCTTGAACGCTGGCAAGGTGGCGAGGCGAGCCGCGTCGTCAAACACGCAGAGGCGGCCGCCTGTCCACAGCAGCAAGTGTGAAGAGGCGCATTCACAGCGGCGGGGGGAGGCGGGACGACGGAGTGGCGGCTGCCCTGCACCAGCCCAAGCACCGGAGACCACAGGCCCGTCACCTGTTCACAGCGCGTGTGTTCACAGCCCGTCGCCAGCCCGATGCTGTGAAGAGGCACGTCACCGGCGAACGGAGCGTCATCGGGCCGCCGACCTGCATCGGCGAGCTCGAGATCAGCCGAGAGGTGTCACTCATTAACGACGACTATCGCTCATTCATCAGAGAGAGGGCCTGCAGCGGCGCGGTGAGCTCGAGAGGTGGCGTCTCCTCCGCCGTCGCCGCGTCGGCAGCGCGGCGCGGAGCAGTCGCCTCCGCAGCGGCGCCCTCCTCCGCCGCCTGCGAGTGGAACCATATCAACCATCGCCATCTCTACGCCTCTGCAGCCGCACCCCCTCCTCCTCCTCCGACGCCTGCTCCGCCGCTAGCACTCTGGCCGCGTGCGGCGCCAGCAGCTGCGACACCACGAACAGCGCGACGTCCTGTGACAAACCACCAGAAGAGTTCAGCACGACAGTTCATCACTGACTGGCCTAGCTGCAACGCGGGGAAGAGCGCGGCGGGCCTCGGAGAGAAAGTACGCCGAGTGCGCCGAGAGAGCGGCGAGGCTCTCCGAGATCCAAGCCTGATTCATCAGGGCGTTAATTAGCCTCAACCACGAATTAATTAGCGGCGAAGCTCCCCGAGACCCAAGCCTAATCAAACAATTGTGTGCGGTTAGTGAATTGATGGATTAATGGATTAACTTGGCTGCCCGGGCTCCAAGCCTTGGAGCTGAAGAGCTGCATGTCCGTCTCGCCGCGCCGGTCGTTCTCCTACAGTGGAGATGTGGGGAGATATGAGGGAGATATGAGGGAGATATGGGTGTGCCGGTACTTATCGCACGTGATGAATACACACCGATCAGAAGGCGGGAATGCGGTGGTGCACTTTAGAGCGTCGTGCGAATATGAGGCCGACTGCCGTCGCCGTCTCTCCCTTCTCGACTGCCTGTGCTTGTGCGTGTTGGGCCCCTGGGTTGTGTCTTGGTGTGTCTTGGTGTGCATACGAGGAATGCGAGCGTTGAGTGGGCCTCTCGAGCGCCAGTTGGAATGCATGAATTCGTATTCCGCTTCTAGGGCCCTTCTCCGCCAGCCACGCGAGCGCCTCTGCACGCGTCGCCCCGATCGGCAACGAGCGCGCCGCGGCGGGAAGGAGCCTGTGTACACTCCCTAGACACCTCCTAGACACTTCCTAGACACTTCACAGCCGCGGCGGGGAGGAGCCGAGAGCGAGCCGGCCGCGTCTGCTTCGTCACCTATAGGAGAGCTCGGACAATCTCGGGGTCATCTCGGGGAATCTCCCCGGCCGTGTTCTGCTTCGTCGCCTGATTCGTTATCGTTCATTCCTTAGGGGAAGCGCGAGTGGGCCTGCCGCGTCCTGCTTCCGTCACCCAGTCTCGCGTGGCGCGGGAAGCGACGAGCACGCCGTCCCGCGTGGGCGGCGGCAGCAGCGGCTCCACCTTGCAGACGTGAAACAAGTCGTCACGGACTGAAGAGTGCTTGCTTGCGGCGGCGGCAACAGCGGCTCCGCCTTCCAGCTGACCGGGTCCGCGCGCGACCAAATGTTGAAGTACGCGTCGCAGCTCGGCCGCGGCACTCCTAATGAGTTAATTCACTAGTCAGAAGGCATGCATTATTAGTCGCAGCCTCGGCCGCGGCACTCCTTTTGGCCCGTCCGGCTCGCACCTATTTATTGAGACAGTGTGATTCCCTCTTTGTTGAATAACGCCCCCTGGCCCGTCCGGCTCGCGCCTCTTGTCGGCCGTCTCCGAGCTGCGCTCGTGCCTGCGTTAATGAATTGGGGCAGCTAACGTCTGTGAAGTGTCTAGGAAGTGTCTGTGCAGAGTCTAGGAAGTGTCTAGGAAGTGTCTAGGAGGTCTAGGAAGTGTCTAGGAAGTGTCTAGGAAGTGTCTAGGAAGTGTCTAGGAAGTGTCTAGGAAGTGTCTAGGAAGTGTCTAGGAAGTGTCTAGGAAGTGTCTAGGAAGTGCCTGCGAGAGACGAGGAAGAGAGCGGCGGGAGAGCCGCAGGCGAAGAAGCAGTCCACCGGGAAGGGGAGCACCTGTTCACAGCTAGAGGTGTGAAGAGACGCTGTTCACAGCTAGAAGCAGTCCACAAGGAAGGGGAGCACCTGTTCACAGCTAGAGGTGTGAAGAGACGCCGTTCACAGCTAGAAGCAGTCCACCGGGAAGGGGAGCACCTGTTATCAAATGATGACGCGTATCGATTGATTGGCTGAAAACGAAGAAGCAGTCAGGAAGCGGAGCACCTGTTTTTAATTAATTATGACTAAGTAGTTGGCCGCAGGCAAGGAAGCAGTCGGGCAGCGGAGCACGGGGTAAGAGACGCCGCCGACCGCCCGCCCCGCCTTTGTGAGCAAGTCGCGGTGGTGATGGTGCCGAGAGATGGCCAACTTAATTCATGATGAATTAATCAACGGCCTTGGTGAGGAGGTCGTAGGTGATGATGGTGCCGAAGGAGTGGCCTAAGAAGGCGAGATCGTATCTCGGAGATTGTATCTCGCCCGGGAGATGATGGTGCCGAAGGAGTGGCCTACGGGACATGTCTCTGAAAGGTCGTGGACGTGTCCCGGACATGTAGGTGACGATGGTGCGAGTGGCCAAAGATCGAGACGCCGCCGCTGAAGCCGGGGTGCTCCGCGACGAATGCGCGGTACCTGCCCGGTGGTGAATGTGCTAATGAATGAATGAGCTGAGTAATCACCAACTTAATGGGTGCTCCGCTACATAGGCGCGGTACCTGCCATTGGTTCACTGATGATGACCAGAGGCTCCGCCACAGGTGGGCTAATCTCGAGCAATCTCGGGTAATCTCGGGTGATCTCGAGCAATCTCGCTTCGAGGTGAGCTGGTCGGCGACGGCGTCGATGATGCGCTGGCCGTGCGACGTGGTCAGGTAGTAGAACACGTCCATCACCTAATTAATTCTCAATTGTGCGTGTTAACTGTTAATTATGCGACGTGGTCAGGTAGTAGAAGACGTCCATCACCTAATTAATTCTCAGTTGTGCGTGTTAGCTGTTAATTATGCGACGTGGTCGGGTAGTAGAACACGTCCATCACCTAATTAATTCTCAATTGTGCGTGTTAACTGTTAATTATGCGACGTGGTCAGGTAGTAGAAGACGTCCATCACCTAATTAATTCTCAGTTGTGCGTGTTAACTGTTACTTATGCGACGTGGTCAGGTAGTAGAAGACGTCCATCACCTAATTAATTCTCAGTTGTGCGTGTTAACTGTTACTTATGCGACGTGGTCAGGTAGTAGAAGACGTCCATCACCTAATTAATTCTCAATTGTGCGTGTTAGCTGTTAATTATGCGACGTGGTCGGGTAGTAGAAGACGTCCATCACGTTCTCGCGCATGAAGGAACGCATGTCGCCGGCGCCCTCGGGCATGCACGCGCGCAGCAGCTCCTGCGAGATCACCCGAGATCACCCGAGATCATCCGAGATCACCCGAGAGCACCCGAGATCACCCGAGATCGCCCGAGATCACCCGAGATCATCCGAGATCATCCGAGATCACCCGAGATCACCCGAGATCACCCGAGATCACCCGAGAGCACCCGAGATCACCCGAGATCACCCGAGATCACCCGCGAGCATCCGAGATCACCCGAGATCACCCGAGATCACCCGAGATCACCCGAGAGACTACTCACGCGCAGCGGCGCCTGGTCCTCCGCCTCCCCGCCTCCGCCTCCGCCGACCGCCACATCTCCGTCAAGCGCCGCTCCCTCCCTCGCCGCAGCGCCGCCGCCCCCGTTGCCCAAGCTGCCTAGCTCGTTCAAACGTTTAACTATGAGCACTCGTCCTCCACAACTAAACAGTCGCCCCCAGTGCCAAAGCTGCCGCTGCTTCCGCTGCCCGGCACTCCGCCGCCGCCGCCGCCGCCGCCGCCTCCAACACCGCCTCCTCCTCCTCCACCACCTCCTCCTCCTCCGCCTTCAGCCGCCTCCGCCTCCGCTGCCGCCGCCGGCGCGGCGTCGAACAGCTGCGGGTAGTGCAGCAGCGAGTGCCTATGAAGTAGCAATTAATAGTCAATGATGATCTCTTGGCACAGCGGAGGGTCAGTGCAGCAGCGAGTGCCTACGCGTTCACAGCTGCTGGTGTTAAGAGGCGGGCGGTGGGGTGCAAGCCGCGGGTCAGTGCAGCAGCGAGGCGCGCCATTCGATCGAATGCACCGTCACCTCCGCCTGATAGTACTCATTCTTAGGATTAGGACTGTTCTCGCCATTCGATCGAATGCACCGTCACCTCCGCCTGATAACAACTAGCTCAGTCAGTCACTCGCCCGGCATCAGACCGCCCTCTGCCTCTCCTTCCGCCGCCTTGATCCCGCGCAGCCGTGTCCGCAGCTGCGCCTGTTGGAAGAGGTGTGAAAGGACAGCTCAGAGAGGTCTCAACTGCTCTCGCGCCACCGTTGCTGCTGCTCAGCTTAACTCGGCTACACCTCGGCTACACCTCAGCGATCTCTCGTCCCGATCTCGGCAAGCTCTCGGCAGCACCTCAATCAGCTCGCGGAACTCGCGGTTGCCTGTGTTCGCGACCAAACGTGTGAAACTACACTGCGCTGCGCGGAGGCGCGTGCGGTCTGAGAGTGTTCAGGTGTGTGCGGTCACGCAGGTTGCGTGGAGTGTTGCGCTGAGTTGAGCGTGCGCGTGCGGCTGGCGAGAGAACGTGCGATTGAGCGCGAGTGTGTCCACGAGCTGCTGCTGCCAAAGAAGCGTGCGGCGAGTGGTGTCGTCCGATGGTGTGAGTTCGCCTCCTGGGCCGTCGCCCTTCCCGTCCGGCTGGCCGTCCCAGGAGAGGTTTTTGCCGTCGATAAAGTCGTCGTGGCGGCCGATGCCGTGCACGAGGAAGAGGAGGTGCTGGCGCGAGCACACTGGTGAGGCTGCAGCCGCAGCACAGCCTGCCCCGCTCTCCTCGGCCGCACCGAGCTTCTTCTCGAGCGTCCGGCGGAGCGCGCCGAGGAGCGCGGCGGCGGCCTCGGGATGGTCGGCGTCGAGTGCGATGCGCTGAATGGCGGCGAGCTCCGCGCCGATCCGCTCCATGGGCAGCCAAGAGACACGGTTTCGGGTTGTCAAGCGCCGTGCAGCCGTGGCAGTGCCGGCGAAGGAAGAATTTAAAGAAAGGATTCAAGGTGGCAGTCCGGGTTCTGTGAAGAGGGTCGCTGGTCGAATGCGAGCCAGTTCGCTCGCGACGCCGACGCCGACGCCGCCGCCGGAACGACCGCGGCGGCCGGTCGAGCGGCCGCCCCGGCCAGCGGCCGTATCGAGCCTGCCCGTCGCGAAGGTGCGGACCTCACGCGCCCCACCGGCCGCCCGCGCCGCCGCGCCCACGTCGCTCTCTCGAAGCCCAGCGCCACGCCGCTACGACTCCCATCGCGACGACTCCCGTGCTCGCTCGTGGCGCAGGCGATCGACTCCTGACACCCATCGAGCGGATGGGCGCGTTCCCGCCGCGACCCGGTACTCTCGAACGACTTTTGAGGGCAAAAGGTGCCGCCCGAGCCCATTCCCGCCGCCCGCCGCCCGAGATCAGCTGCCACCGGCCAGCGCGCGCGCGGAGACCTGCCGCGAGCGCCTCCGTGGCCCTAGCTGGGGTGATTAGCAAGCGCCTCGGCACTTTAGATTCGCCCCTCGGGCTTTTCCGCGCGCGTGATCAGTCTCGCGTTCTCTCCTTTTTCAGGCGCCTGTTTTCGGCCTCTGAAGAGCAACCGTCGAGGCGTCGATGCTCGCCTCCACGCCCGCGCCAGACCTCCGCGATTGGGGCGCCTTGTCGACGGGATCAATTGTGATTCCGGGCGTATTTTTCTGGTATCTTACTCGCACGTCGGCGACTCTTAGTCGCTTCTCCGTGCTAGGAGGCCTCTGTCGTTTGTGTCCGTGAGGACTAGATCGAAACTAACATTCGGGAACATTTCAGTAAGATATCAGAAAAATGCGCGTTCGTTCACAATTCATGTGTATATGAACGGTGCCGACGGGTTTGGCGAGCAGCGAAGCCGTCCAGGCGCAGCAACGCGACGGTTTCGGAGGCCGACGGCTCCGAAAGAGCCTCCCGAGCGAGGCGGCGCGGTCACGGTACCGTGGAGGCCACAGACGTCGCCGGAGCGGCACTCCCGGGGCGCCACTCCCTCACCCGGTCAGGGGGGGCCAACCACAGCCCGCCTCACCGTCCGTGGAGCTTCCGTGGTCCGCCGCTTCGGCTTCGATTTTCGACCCTCCCGAGGCTGCTATAGCAGCCCCGCGGAGCCTCCCGGATGCATCGGCACACCGTCGTCCAGAACGCCGGCGCACGCGCTGCCCAGTGACTGGGCGGGTCGGCCCCGACTAGGGGCGGGCCCAGCCGCGCGGAGAAGACCATCCCACTCGCGGTTCGTCGCACCGTCCGCTCCAGTTTTCGTCTCGAGCGGGTCGTGAGACGGCCGCGAGAGCGAGCACCGCGGTCACGGTACCTTGGAGGCCACAGACGTCGCCGGAGCGGCACTCCCGGGGCGCCACTCCCTCACCCGGTCAGGGGGGGCCAACCACAGCCCGCCTCACCGTCCGTGGAGCTTCCGTGGTCCGCCGCTCCGGCTTCGATTTTCGACCCTCCCGAGGCTGCTATAGCAGCCCCGCGGAGCCTCCCGGATGCATCGGCACACCGTCGTCCAGAACGCCGGCGCACGCGCTGCCCAGTGACTGGGCGGGTCTGCCCCGACTAGGGGCGGGCCCAGCCGCGCGGAGAAGGCCAGCGAGCTCGAAACACGTCGCCGCGGCCGGCCGTTTCGCAAGCCTGAGCGGGTCGCCAGACACCCGCGAGAGCCAGCAGCTAGAGCGCCGTCGTAGCCGCAGATCGAGTCGAGGAGCTTGATGTCCACGGTAGCAGTTGTGGAGAGCGGTGGCACGGTGCGTGTAGACGCGTCGATTGAGGGCTCCCTTTCGAAACGCGACGGGTACGGCTCGACAACTGCCAGCACAGTTTTACGCCGGCCAGCGTGAGAGCACAACAGGGAGCCGGCGACCCGTACGCTTTGCGCGTGGCGACTGGTGGCTGTCTGGAGCTCGTGTGAGCTGGGCCGACGCGTGGCCGAGCCGAGAGGACCAGCGAGCGACCACGTTGGCGATGAAGCTTGGCGGCCGGCGCCTCGTCGCCAGACGTCACAGCGGCGTGGATGTAGGAGTGTGCGGCGACGGTTACCGGCAAATCCGGCCCAGTGTGGCCGGCAGCTGCCTAGCGCTGGCCTGTGGCCGGCGCCGCGGTGGCGGAGAAGGCGTCTCGCCGCCGTGGCGGCGGTCGGCAGGTGCGAGCGTGATGCCATCTTGCGGGACGACACCAAAACCCGGACTGCCACCTTAAACAAAAGAATCTTACAACAAAACTCCCTCGCACAACACTGGGCACGGGACTGGCGCGCACTGGCACGAACACAGGTACAAAAGAACTCTCTCTCACAGCAGACACAAACAAAAGAATTTTACAACCAAACTCCCTCGCACAACACTGGGCACGGGACTGGCGCGCACTGGCACTAACACAGGTACACCACGGGAGCCGCCTATATCGCCTTCTCCCAGGGCCAGTGCGCTACTTGCGGCGCGCAACGCCTGCTCAAGTACGCGCAACGTACCATGTGCTGCCGCTATGCGTGCCTTATGGCGGCTGCGGCGAAGCGGCGGGCGCGGCATGCCGATGGCAGTGCGGACGATGCGGTTGCGATGTGTTCTGCTTCAAGATCGTGGCGGTGCTTGGCATGCACTTCTGCGATCCCAATCAGCTCATCGCAACGAAGCAGCGCAACAAGCTGGCTGCTGCCAACAAGGCCCTATGCTACCTCACGCGCGGATCGTTCAAAGAGGACCAGCATACACAGGCTTCTCTGACACGCGTTTGTTTGAGCTTGAGGCTATTTGTGAGAACTGTTTGGCGAGAAGTCGCCGAAGATTGCGCTCAAGAAGCAGCAACGAGAATCGGAAGAGGAGGATGCTGAGGCGGCGATTGCTGAGCATGAGAAGGATCGATCGCCCGCCGCAGGCGAAGAAAATTTGGGGGCTGCGCCGTATCGTTGTACGTTGATCACGGTGGGAGCCTCTTGGCCCCAGGCCGTCCACGGCCGACTTAGCCGATGTAAGAGGCTCCCGCTGATCTTAGACCGCGCAAGCACTCCAGCGTGGCTAGCCACACTTAGACCCGTTAGGCCTCCAGGCTCAGAACTTAGACTACTACCCAACCAGTGTGGGCGGCGACCGCCGCATACCGTCCTACGGCGGGGACTATCGCTACGCCAGGGAAGACAAGGGCGTTGAAGTGCAGCTGCTGCTGTTCGAATCGTTCGGCGGGTTCGGAAAGGGGGTCCGTGAGATCCTCCGGAAGGCGGCGGACGTGCTACAGAACAAGCTGACGCGGGCCCAGTACCTCGATGAGTGAGGTGACTTGGACCACTAAGAATTGGCTGGGGCTGCAGAAGCAGCGCATCTCATTGTTTGTTTTGTCATCTCAGTCGTTCTTCACACGGCAAACGCAGAGCAGGTTGTGAATGAGCTTGCCTGTGGCGGGGGTGGGCGGGTGCACGGAGCTAAGTGCCTCGCCACTCTCGCAGGAGTCGCTTAGGCGGCTCCCGTGGTGTACCTGTGTTAGTGCCGCTGGTAAAATTCTTTTCCAGCCGCGCCTCACCTGTCGCGTGAATCGTGTCGTGCGACCGCCTTTCGCTGAAAAATAGTTAGAGGCTGCGCAGGCCGTCCCGTTTGCTGTTTGAAACGCCTGTTGCGCTGGCCGCTGCGCGCGCGCGCTGGCCGCTGCCGGGGCTCTGTCTCACTCTCACGTGCCGCAATATGTGTCACACACGGCGGCTTCTGCCACCTCTCGATTGGTTCTACTTTCTACGCACACCTACCGGGGAAGGGGCGCTTGGGAGCGGGGGCGGGGGCGGGGGCGGGGGCGCGCAGCGCGGCTGCGCGGCGCGCGCAACAGAGGGTAGGGTGGGGAAGACGGCGAGGAGGGGGCGGCGGCGGCGGCGGCGGCGGCAGCGCGCGCGCGGCGCGCGCGACGGGGGGGCGGAGCAGCGACCGCTGGCGCGGCCGCTGCTCCGTCTGTGCCAGGGACGCGCGCTCTGCGCCGCTGCACAGAGCGCGCGTCAGGGCAAGGGGCATGCGTGGCGGCGCGGGACGCGCGGCGGCGGCGGCGAGCACGCTCCGTGAGCGGTGAGGCGGCCGGGCGAGGGCGCGGCGGGTGACGGGTCAAGGGAGCAGCCCACACCCGGCGTCGCTTTTTGAGCGACGCCTGTGGTACGCCTGCGCAGGGGCCGCAGGGCGGTCAGTTGTGGGGCGAGGCGGTGCCGGCCGCGGGCCGGGTGCAAGGCGCCGGCCTCGGCGCCGCCTCGGCGCGCCGCACGGGCCGCGGCGGGTGACGGGTCAAGGGAGCAGCCCACACCCGGCGTCGCTTTTTGAGCGACGCTGTGGTACGCCTTCTCCACTGCTGCCCTGCCTCCACTGCTGCGACGACACCCTCCCCTCCGCCACCGATCTCGGCGTGAGCGAGGGGAAGCTGGAGCTGTGGCGCAAGCTCGGCGGCGGCGACCTCGAGCCGGTCCTCGCGAGCGGCGCCGTCGCCCTCCTCGACGCGCAGTGGATCATCAGCCACGCCGAGGCGGGCGGCGTCCTCACCCACCGCCAGGCGCTGCCCAAAGAGGCCTTCCTCTCCTTCGCCGACCTCGTCGAGGCGACCAGCGAGAGTGTGAGCTTCCTTCCCGTCGCCGCGCTCTCCTACCCGTGGCTGACCAAGGACCACCCCGACCCGCGCGGAGCCAACCTCGCCCGCGTCGCGAGGGCGCTCAAGGCCCTGCTCAGCGTTCCCGACCACATCACGCGGCTCGGCGTCTTTTGGGACTTCGGCTCGCTGCACCAGCACCCCGACCCCCCCAACGGCGTCCTGCGCACCGAGGAGCAGAACGCGCTCTTCAAGGAGGGGCTGGGCTGCCTCGGCACGCTCTACTCCCACAAGTACACTTGGGTGCTGCGGCTGACCTCCTTCCCGGACGGCCACAAGGCGGAGGAGCAGCCCGAGGGCACCAACGTGGCCAAGTACTTTGACCGCGGCTGGTGCTTCACGGAGCAGAGCTGGGCGGGCCTGACAAAGGCTGGCTACCTCTCGCTCGACCTCGGCAAGATGCGCGCCGGCGTGGAGTACGACTACGACAGCCTCATCGACGACTGCACCCAGGACGGCGGCCGGCGCCCCCCTCTCCTGCCGTCTGCGTTCGCGATTGAGCTGGAGACGAAGAGCTTCACCAACGGCAAGGACGACAAGCCGCTCGTGAAGCGGCTGTACGAGGCCGCCTTCGAGGAGCAGTTTGGCAAGGCGACCGAGCTGGAATACATCGGCCTCGGCTGGGGCGACGCGGAGGCGGCGCAGCTGGCGGTGGTCCTCGCGAGCGGGGCAGCGCCGCGGCTCGAGAAGCTCTATCTCAACTGGAACCAGATTGGCGACGAGGGCTGCAAGGCGCTGGCCGCCGCCCTCGGCAAGGAGGGGGCAGCGCCGCGGCTCGAGACGCTCTATCTCAACGGCAACCAGATTGGCGACGAGGGCTGGAAGGCGCTGGCCGCCGCCCTCAAGGAGGGGGCAGTGCCGCGGCTCGAGGAGCTCAATCTCGGCGGCAACCAGATTGGCGACGAGGGCTGCAAGGCGCTGGCCGCCGCCCTCAAGGAGGGGGCCGCCCCGAGCTTGAAGGCGCGAGACGCGCCCCTCGCCACACGCCCCTCCCCCGCCCAATGCTGATCGCACCTCCCCTCGCGTGCAGGAGCTCCTCGTGGACAACAAGAAGCAGCCTGAGCTGGTGGCCGTGTGCGAGGAGCGCGGCATCAGCCTCGGCTGAGCCTCTCCAGCCCCGGCCGGGCGGCAAGGGCGCGGGTTCCTGCGGGACCGCCGCGCGAGCATGGCAAAGAGCAACAGACCCTGCGGCTGCGGAGCACGACGCACAGCGGCGGTGGGGGTGGGGGGCGGGGGGGGGGGGGGTCTGCGTCTCTCGGCGCGCTTCGGCCGCTTGGGACAAGAGGCGGGGGAGGGGGAAGTGGGGTCAGGGTCTGGTTGGGCGAAAGACACACGGGAGACAGTCGGGGGAGTAGATGATGCAGACCGGACATCGATGGCCATTCGGATTGGTGTGTTGCACGTTGTGCACGTGTGACTGTGAGCACGGCCCCCGGCCCCAGATGTGCCGCGGGGGGTCCGGGGAACGCGGTTTGGGGAGGGAATGTTGATTTGCAAACGGGAGACCTGAATCTTTTTTAGTCAGCTACCTTTTATGGCGCGCATCCTGGGCGCTGGGGCCGCGCTCCCCCCACTCCCGGTCTCCATCCCCAGACCCCACGCCATGTCGCCATCCCGTCGCGCGCGGGCCTGCGTAGACCGTAGAGGCGTAGTGTTCGCTCTGGGCCGGCGCGGGGGCCCCAGAGGGTGTCCATGCGGGGGGGGGGATGGGGTCCCATGGCCCGCCGCAGGCGCCGTTTTTTTGGATTTTTTGGCGATTTTTTACTTCTTTTCGGCGGCTTCGGGGTCGGGGACGGCGTCCGCAGAATTCTTCGGCAGGCGGCGGACCAGCTGAGTAACAAACTTTCGCACGCTCAGCACCTCGATGAGGTCACATGGACCACCAAGAACTGGCACGGGCTGCAGATGCAGCGCTTGTCTGTCGTTCTCCACACCGCCGTGGCGTGGCAGACGGTGAACGAGCTAGCGTGCGGGGACAGCGGCATTGTGCACGGAGCGAAGTGCATTGCCGTTCTTAACGGAGTCGCTTAGGCGGCTCCGGTGGTGTGCCGGTGATAGTACTAGCACGCGCCAGTTCGCACCTGTGTCGAGCCTGTGTGCTGTGAGAGAGAGTTGTCTTGTTTAAATTCTTTTCATGGGAACTCCGGCGTACTTGCGGCCATGCTATCACGCCTTGCGACAGCCTGTCGGCGCTGCTGACCGTGCCATGATGCACAATTGATCACCTGCATAGCTCGCGGCCTTAGTATCAAGAATTCAGTGATGACCTGATCGTACGGCCAGTAGGAAGGTGTCCTTCCAGCGCGTGCACGCTTCTGACGCAATGCGCGTCACAAACTGCCTCGGATTGGCTGCTGGCACTCTCGAGGCTATGCCTACGCAGCCTCGCGCGCATGGGCAGTCAAGAGGGACCACGCACCTTCTCAGGACAGCGCCGGTGCCTCTCTCTTGGACCGGCAAACGTGGTGGTCTCGTGTCACCGATGTGGGACCAGTGCGGCATCGCGCCATCGACAGCTCTGAACTGCGCCTCACCACTGACCGGGGAGGCCGCCAAGTGGGCCAGCACCGGTCGCACATTGTGGCAGCAGTCAGCAGTGCATGTCTGATAGCTAGAGCAGCAGCGTCAGGGTCGCAGGGTCGGATCGTGTCAAGCCTCTCGCCCGGCCGGCCGCGTGCAGACGGTCGGCCTGTCTTCTGTCTGGAGTGATCTGTCGGCGGTCAGTACGACCGATCAGGTCGGAGTTTTCTGATGGTTGGAGGGTCTATCTGTATGTACTCCTCGAGATCTCTCCAAATCTGCCCTCTGATTAACATAGCTTAATCGGGAAGTTGGTGGTAACGGAGACTAACGGAGCCGGGGCCCCGTTTCCGCTCTGCTGCGCGGCGCACGGTGCCTCCGGGGGCCCCCGCGCCCCCCCAGAGAGTGTTCGCTGAGTTACCAGCGAGCGAGCGGAGAGGCCGGCGCGCAACGTACAAAGCAATCGCGCGGCGTCGCGCTGCCATGCCGCGACAGCCGACCCCCCCCCCCCCCCCTCCCCCTTCCTCCCCGGGGTAACCCGCGCACGGGGAAGCTTCACGGGTTCGAGCCGTCAAACATTGAGCAGCGGAGGTGTGCCGAGGGGGACCGGGAGGCGGTAAGCCGTCGTCGCCCGGCGCTGCATGCAGCACCGTGGCGATGGCGCTAAGAGGTTCCTCTTTTCCGCGCCCCCCCCGCAAGGCGCGCGATACACTGCCTTCAAGATCCACAAGTCAATTTGTACCAGAAATCCAAAGGTGGTGCAAAATGGATATCTCAAGATTGGCCTTTATTTCGCGCACCTGCTCTCCGCCGCCGCCGCTTACCTGCTGGCACGCCACCGCCCCGCGTCGCTAACTCAAGCCTCCCTGCTGCATCTTCGCACCCCTGCCACATGACTCGATCGCCGTCGCTGCTACCGCCCTCTCCGCCGCCCTCGAAGGCGCCACCAGCATTACGGCCGCCTTCATATCCTCATTGATGCTGCCACCAACGCCACTTCCTCGATTCTGTGCCGCTGCAGCGGCGAGGCGCCGTCGCCACGATCGCCGCCAGCGCTGCTGAGAGCATTGGAGTGTCGCCGTGGCCGCGTTCTGGTCTGCCCACGCTTCCCTAAAATGTCTAGGACGAGCTCAGAGGCTAAGGGCGCATCATGTGGGACCATCTAGCTCTACTGGGTCCGCGACGGCGGTCGGCGCACCCCCGTCTCGAACGTGTGTGCTCTCTGTCTGTCTGTCAGCTGTTTCGGCTAACTAAGACCTAAGTCGTTTTGTACCGGATTTCAATGTTAGTGTGGCAAAACCGCGGAACCAAAAATGGCGTTTAATTTCGCGCACCTGCTGTCCGCCGCCTGCGGCGGCGCTCCGCGCCGCTTGGGGCGCCTGCGGCGCCCCTGGGCGCGCTGCGCGCGCCTGTTTTGGGGAGCCACAGCACCGAAACATTGCCGTTTTTTGCTGCCGCTACGGAATGTTGCAGTTCCGCCGGAGCTTGCGTCCCGCGGCCCTCCGCTCGGCGCTTCGCTCGGCGCCGCCGCTGGCTCCGCCGCTCGCCGGCCGTGCGAGCTGCCCGCTCGCCGGCCGCGCACGCTTCGCCTCCGCCGCGTCGAGCGCCGCCTCGCCGGGAGGCGGCCGGTTGGCTGCGGCCGGTCTCGCCGCCGCCGCCGCTGCTGCCGCGGGCTACGGGGCGTGGCAGCTGCAGCTGGGCGCGGGCGAGGACGAGGCTGCGCCGCTGAGCGGCGGCGGCGGCGGCGGCGGCGTCCCCGAGGCGTCGCTCACCCGCCGCCAGCTCGAGGCGATCTACGCGTTTGAGAAGCGGATCGGGCAGGGCGGGTTCGGCGACGTGTGGCTGGCGCGCGACGCGAAGAGCGGGCGGCAGGTCGCGGTAAAGCTCATCTCGCTCGAGAAGCTCCCTCGCGCCATGGTCGAGGTCGAGGTCGAGGCGATGCGCCGCTGCGGTAGAGCGCAACACCTCTGCAGGCCAGCCTCTGCTGCAGCCTTCTGTCTCCACGGCGCTTGTATTCACACGGCGCGTAGGCTCTCACCCGTACATCATCGAGCTGCTGGGCGTGTACTGGGTCCGGCCCGAGGGGCGTGCGGCCGACAGCGGCCCTGTCGAGGCGGCGATTGTGATGGAGCTGGCCGGCGGCGGAGGCTTTCCTTAGCCGAGATCACGCGAGATCACGCGAGATCATCCGAGATTGTGATGGAGGCTCGCCGGCGGCGGAGGCGACCCGAGATGACCCGAGAGATACGCGAGATCATTCGAGATCATTCGAGATCACCCGAGATTGCGCGAGGGGCCCCTCTCGGAACCTTCCTGTGGCAGGCCTGTTCGAGCGCCTGGTTGCGGAGGGCGCGTACACGGAGCAGATCGCATCCAAGATCATCAAGCAGGTGCGAGATGCGGCCGAGAGATGGGGCACGCCTCGGCTGTCACACCCTGCCGGCTGCTCTTCACACCTCGTCTGTCCATGTTGCAGACTCCGCTAACAAGAGAGTCCCAATGTACTTCTTTTCCCAGGTCGCCCTGTCGATCTACCACCTCCACTCGCGCGGCATCCCGCTACCGCCGACCTCAGCAAGGCGGTGGCAATCAGCTAATTAGTTATTAATTGCATGATTCAGGCATTCCGCGCCGCCGGTCTCAGCCGGAGAAGGCGGTGGTGCATCAACTCATTCATGACTCCTTGCTGGGTCCAGGCATCCTGCACCGCGACCTCAAGCCCGAGAACGTCGTCTTCGAGTGTGAAGCGCGGCAGCTTGCGGCCGAGCTGTGAACCGGAGGGCCGGAGGTGTGAACAGAGGCGCTGTGAACAGGAGCGCGACTCTGCGATCAAGCTGATCGATTTCGGTGCCGCCGCCACGCTGGAAGGGGGTGATAGAATGCGCGGCTCTTCACAGCTGCAGCTGTGAACAGGCACCGCCGTGACGCTGGACGAGGCGGGGGAGAAGGTGCAGGGCGGAGGGCGGATAGGCACCTCGTCTTTGCTGGGTCATGGTTAGTTGTTCCTGCACTACTCGGTGATCCGTTAAGCGGAATAGGCACTTGGTCGTACTGGGCGCCCGAGCAGCTGGCGCCGCCCTTCCTCTGCACACCTCTTCCCGCTGTGAACGTGGACTCTTCACGGCATGCGTGGTGTGAACAGGCGCAGCAGCCGTACGGCTTTGAGGTCGAGTTGTGGCCGTGCCGGAACTTTCTCGGAATTTTCTCGGAACCGGGTGCGACCCTTTTCGGAATTTTCCTTAGGTCGACCTCTGGTCGCTCGGCGTGCTCCTCTACATCCTGCTGGTTGGCTTCCACCCCTTCGACCCGGAGGGGGAGGCGAGATTAGCTCGAGATTGGCCCGAGATCGGCCGAGAGTCCGTTGCTTGTGAACGCGCAGACATGAAGTCGCGTGTGTGTGTCGTAATCCAGCTCACTCGTCGTTTTGCACCCGGTGCTCTCCGAGGCCGGCCAGCACGTAAGCACCAAGCGATGCGGTCGGATAGGCGAACGAGCAGCAGATCCTCGCAAACATGAAGGCGCGCACGCCTCCTGCCTCCGACACGCCCAATCCGTTGAATGGCTTCTTACTTAGTTAGTTTGATCGACATCAGGCGCACCGCCTCTGCCTCGACGCGCCGGAGTGGGGCACCGTCTCCGGGCAGGCAAAGGGGCTCCCGCTAGCTAATTTGACTACCGAACTTCGTTACGTGGGGCACGGTCTCGGGGCTCGCGCTAGTTAGTTTGAACTACCGAGCTGAGCTGCCCCCCCCCCCCCCCCACCCTCGGGGCAGGCAAAGGGGCTCGTCGTCTCTTTGCTCGAGCCCGACCCGGAGCAGCGGCTGACGGCGGCGCAGCTCATTTCGCACCCGTGGGTGCTCGGGCAGGACGTGCCGGGCAGGCCGATGCCGGCGACGCAGGAGCGGCTGCGCCACTTCACGCAGGCCCGCAACGCGTTCTACGGCTCGCTGCTCATGGGCCTTCTCGTGCACCAGCTGTCGACCAGTGCGGACGCAGAGGGGCTCGGCGGGCTGCAAGTGGGCGGGAGTACGACCGATGCAGAGGGCTGGATGACAAGGATGGCATCGATATCAGGCGGGCTGCAAGTGGACGTGGTTCGCGAGGGGTGGCGCGCGCTCGACCGCGACGGGAAGGGCCACATCGACGCGCAAGACCTGTGGCGCGTCTGCCTCGACATGGGGTACAAGGTGCCGCCAGTGGACAGCGGGCCAGGTGGTGTTGCGGTGCTCCCGCTTGGGTTGATGCACGCACTGCGCACTGGTCATCAGGTGTCGCCAAAGGACGTGGACCAGATGGTCTGCGTGCTCGCTCCGACGGGGCTAGAAAGAAGATGCACCAGCGCTCCTGGTGTGAACGGCGTCTCTTCACACCTGCAGCTGTGAACAGGCTAGAGAAGAAGGTGCACCAGCGCTACTCCTCCCGCGGCGACGGGAAGCCGGCGCCGGAGGCGGGAGGAGGAGGAGGCAGCAGCGGCGGCGGAGCGGAGGGCGGCGGCGGCGGCGGCGGCGGCGGCGGCCCGGCTCGCATCTCGTACGAGCGCTACTGCAAGACGCTGGCTGGCTCCTTCTCGCGCACCTTTGAGAAGGGGGCGTACGTGTTCAAGGAGGGGGGAGGGGGCGGTGGACGCGACCGCCGCCCTCGTGTCAGTTAGCTGAGCCATAGTTGATCATGGACAGGAGGGGGACCCGGTGGACGCCTTCTTCGTGATCACGAGCGGCGCCTGCGAGGTGCGTGGCCCGGGCAGCACGGAGATGTTGATCTCGGCTGTATCTCGGCTGCATCTCGGCTGCATCTCGGCTGCATCTCGGCCGCATCTCGGCTGCATCTCGCCCGCATCTCGGCTGCATCTCGGGTAGGTGCGGGTCGCGGGCCCGGACGGCAAGGAGCGGCTGATTGCGACGCTCGGCGCGGGCGACTTCTTCGGCGAGACTTCTTAAACTAGTACTAAATTATTAATTATTCATTCAGGCGCGGGCGACTTCTTCGGCGAGATTTCTTAAATTAGTACTAAATTATTAATTATTCATTCAGGCGCGGGCGACTTCTTCGGCGAGACCGGCTTGCTGGAGGGGAGGAGCGTGCGGGCGGCGTCGGTGTTTGCGACGGCGCCGCTCGAGGTGCTGGCGATTCACTGATTAGCAATTAATTAATGACGCACTAATTGGTCACCAATTGCCGCTCGAGGTGCTGGCGATTCACTGATTAGCAATTAATTAATGACGCACTAATTGGTCACCAATTGCCGCTCGAGGTGCTGGCGATCGACCGAAAGGTCTTCAACGAGGCGCGCGCACACCTCTTAATTATTAACTCGTTGAAGAAGGAAGGAGTCGATCCATTTGTTGTTCACAGGTTGCGAGCGTGCACAACTCGTCCGCTCTCTCCACCTCGATGCGCGAGCGCGCCGAGGCGAGGCAGCGGGCGAGGCTGCTAATTAATTAATAGGCAACTAATCAATAGGTGCCTAATTAATGAATAGGCGAGGCAGCGGGCGAGGCTGCTCAAGGTGTTTGAGAACATGTCGGTCTCCCTCTCGCAGCGCCGCCGCTTCGGCAAGGGGGCGGTGGTCTACCAGCAGGGGAGTCCGGCTCAGCTCTTCACACCGCCTAGCTGTGAACAGGCAAGGGGGCGGTGGTTTACCAGCAGGGGAGTCTGGCTCAGCTCTTCACACCGCCTAGCTGTGAACAGGCAAGGGGGCGGTGGTTTACCAGCAGGGGAGTCCGGCTCAGCTCTTCACACCGCCTAGCTGTGAACAGGCAAGGGGGCGGTGGTTTACCAGCAGGGGAGTCCGGCTCAGCTCTTCTACATCGTCAACGAGGGCGAGCTCGAGATGTCGGTGAATAAGCCGGACGGAGGCTCTTCACACCGCCTGGCTGTGAACAGGCGAGCTGGAGATGTCGGTGAATAAGCCGGACGGAGGCTCTTCACACCGCCTGGCTGTGAACAGGCGAGCTCGAGATGTCGGTGAATAAGCCGGACGGAGGCTCTTCACACCGCCTGGCTGTGAACAGGCGAGCTCGAGATGTCGGTGAATAAGCCGGACGGAGGCTCTTCACACCGCCTGGCTGTGAACAGGCGAGCTCGAGATGTCGGTGAATAAGCCGGACGGAGGCTCTTCACACCGCCTGGCTGTGAACAGGCGAGCTCGAGATGTCGGTGAATAAGCCGGACGGAGGCTCTTCACACCGCCTGGCTGTGAACAGGCGAGCTCGAGATGTCGGTGAATAAGCCGGACGGAGGCTCTTCACACCGCCTGGCTGTGAACAGGCGAGCTCGAGATGTCGGTGAATAAGCCGGACGGAGGCTCTTCACACCGCCTGGCTGTGAACAGGCGAGCTCGAGATGTCGGTGAATAAGCCGGACGGAGGCTCGGTGCGTGTAAAGACGCTGCGGCCGGGGGACCATTTGGGGTACGATGCGATCTTCTCGGAGGTGCTACGACTCGGCGATGACTTGGATGAGTTGGTTAGCTAACTCGTCACCTGAATTGAACAATCGCATCAGGTGCACGACACGACGGTGACTTGCCTGAGCGAGGTCGAGCTGACTGAGGTCACAAAGGAGGTGCTCGGCGTTAGTTAATTAATTAATAGGTGACTACTTTTAATTAGGTCGAGCTGACCGAGGTCACAAAGGAGGTGCTCGGCGACGCCTTCTCGAACGACCGCTACTTCTCGACCATCTTCGAGGCGAGGCAGCACTTGCGCGAGGGGCAGCTGTGAACAGCGTCTCTTCACACCTGTTGCTGTGAACAGGCGAGGCAGCAATTGCGCGAGGGGCAGCTGGCGGCGGCGTCGCAGGGGGAGGCACAGATTCTGCCGATGATGGCGCGCGCGGCGGCGGCGGGAGACGGCGTCGACTACAGCCAGTACGAGTCGCTCATCCAGGAGATTGCGCCAGATTGTTGGTTGATTACTAGGCGTCGACTACAGCCAGTACGAGTCGCTCATCCAGGAGATTGCGCCAGATTGTTGGTTGATTACTAGGCGTCGACTACAGCCAGTACGAGTCGCTCATCAAGGAGATTGCGCCAGATTGTTGGTTGATTACTAGGCGTCGACTACAGCCAGTACGAGTCGCTCATCCAGGAGATTGCGCCAGATTGTTGGTTGATTACTAGGCGTCGACTACAGCCAGTACGAGTCGCTCATCAAGGAGATTGCGCCAGATTGTTGGTTGATTACTAGGCGTCGACTACAGCCAGTACGAGTCGCTCATCAAGGAGATTGCGCCAGATTGTTGGTTGATTACTAGGCGTCGACTACAGCCAGTACGAGTCGCTCATCAAGGAGATTGCGCCAGATTGTTGGTTGATTACTAGGCGTCGACTACAGCCAGTACGAGTCGCTCATCAAGGAGATTGCGCCAGATTGTTGGTTGATTACTAGGCGTCGACTACAGCCAGTACGAGTCGCTCATCAAGGAGATGGCGCCGCTGGAGGTGTCGCACGGCGAGGCGATCTTCCAGCAGGGGGGCATTGGCGTTAAGTAATTAAGTAATTAATTGATAGGTGTCGCACGGCGAGGCGATCTTCCAGCAGGGGGACCCGCCCGAGCAGGTCTACTTTGTGTCCGAGGGGCAGCTCGAGTGCGAGTATGACCCGAAGCTCGACTCGCGCGCAAAGAAGCGGCGGCCGTCGGGCGAGGCGGTGGTCACGCTGTGAACGGCGCCTCTTCACACCTCGTGTCTGTGAACAGGCGGCCGTCGGGCGAGGCGGTGGTTGGGCGCGACGGCAAGCCGCGCGTGGTAGCGACGCTTGGCCCAGGCGACCACTTTGGGGAGACGGCGATGCTGGAGGCGAGGAAGGCGCGAAACTTGACGGTGCGTTGCGTCACCGCGAGCTGCGTGCTGCGGGCGATGAGCATGGCGCGTTTCAGCGAGATCTTGCGGCAGCGGCCGGAGCTGCACTTCACGGTGCAGCGGGCGGCGGTCCTTGCTGGGCGGGCAAGTCTCTTCACACCGTCTGGCTGTGAACAGGTGCAGCGGGCGGCGCAGATGCGGACGAACCAGCGGATTCGCAACGTCGTCGCTTCAGCGGCGGACGAGGACTTGCGCGTCGTCAGCTTTGCGCCAGGCGAGACCGTCTTCCGGCAGGGCGACCGCTTCGTGGACACTTCCGTGACACTTCCGAGACACTTCCCCAGGCGAGACCATCTTCCGGCAGGGCGACCCGTCCGACTCCTTCTACGTGCTCGAGAGCGGCGAGGTGGAGATGTCGCTGGTGCCGCCTCTTCACAGCGTCGGAGGAGAAGTCATCTACGCGGGAGAGGCTCGTAATCACTCGTAATTAATAACAGGTGCCCGCGTCGGAGGAGAAGGAATCAGTTACGCCGGAGAGGCTCAGAATTAATCGTAATTCATGGTTAATCATCAGGTGCCCGCGTCGGAGGAGGATGAGCCTTCCGCGCCCGTGCCGGTCCCGCACTTACACTTCAGGAGCGGGGTTCGGTGTGAAGACGAGAGGTGTGAAGGCTATGGCTGTGAACAGGCCCGCGCTTGCACTGCCGGCGAGACGATTCTCCGGGGCTGAGAAGCACAACAAAGAACTCTGTGAACAGGTCCGCACTTGCACTGCCGGCGAGACGTTCGGCGCGTCGGGGCTGCTGCCGGGAGACAACGCGCGCCGCGCAACAGGGCGACGCCTTGAGGGAGATCACCCGGAGATCGCCCGAGATTGTCCGAGATTAGGTGCGCCGCAACACGGCGACAGCGCTCTCGCCCGTCGTCGTCAAGGTCATGCCCGTGAAGCTCTTCAAGGCGATGGTGCGCGAGGACGGCTTCCTGCAGGCCTCGGCCCCCTGCCACCACACCACCGCCAAAGTATGTGTGTGTGTGTGTGTGTGGAGAGAGAGAGAGAGAGAGAAGCTTACCTCGCCTGACCTCCCTGCAGGCCGGGCTGAAGGCGTCGGGCTCGTACGTCGAGGCGCGCGCCGTGTCGGAGCTCGACGAGACGCTGGACGCGGAGGTGCAAAAGGCGATGGCCAGATGACGCGCAGGGCTCGCGAGGCGCAGGGGTGAGGGTGGGGCGCGGTTTTTTTCGTTTGCGTTGGAGGAGGGCTCTCGCCAAATCGTATATTACACGGCCCGCTTGCCGCTGCTCACCGAGGAGCGCGCTAGGTTGTAGTGCCGCCGCCGCACGATGCCCGCCCTCTGGGCCGGCGCGGGGGCCCCAGAGGGTGTCCATGCGGGGGGGAGATGGGGTCCCCCAGCCCGCCGCAGGCGCCGATTTTTTCGCGCTTTTTTTTTTGGCGATTTTTTACTTGTTTTCATGGGAATTCGGCGTACTTGCGGCCATGCTATCACGCCTTGCGACAGCCTGTCGGCGCTGCTGACCGTGCCATGATGCACAATTGATCACCTGCATAGCTCGCGGCCTTAGTATCAAGCATTCAGTGACGACCTGATCGTACGGCCAGTAGGAAGGTGTCCTTCCATCGTGTGCACGCTTCTGACGCAATGCGCGTCACCTCGGATTGGCTGCTGGCACTCTCGAGGCTATGCCTACACAGCCTCGCGCGCATGGGCAGTCAAAAGGGACCACGCACTTCTCCGGACAGCGCCGGTGCCTCTCTCTTGGACCGGCAAACGTGTGGTGGTCTCGTGTCACCAATGTGGGACCAGTGCGGCGGATCGCGCCATCGACAGCTCTGAACTGCGCCTCACCACTGACCGGGAAGGCCGCCAAGTGGGCCAGCACAGGTCGCACATGTGGCAGCAGTCAGCAGTGCATGGCTGATAGCTAGAGCAGCAGCGTCAGGGTCGCAGGGTCGGATCGTGTCAAGCCTCTCGCCCGGCCGGCCGCGTGCAGACGTCGGCCTGTCTGCTGTCTGCAGTGATCTGTCGGCGGTCAGTACGACCGATCAGGTTGGAGGTTTCTCATGATTGGAGGGTCTATCTGTGTGTACTCCTCGAGATCTCTCCAAATCTGCCCTCTAATCAACCGTAATCATTCGGGAAGTTGGTGCTCATAGAGACTCATAGAGCCGGAGCCCCGTTTCCGCACTGCGGCGCGGCGCACGGTGTGGGCCGGGGCCCCCGCGCCGGCCCAGAGTGCCCATTTTCGGTGCAGCGTCTCCACACTCCAGCATCATCACGCGTGTCGGCGTTGCCCCAATGCGCCCCTCTGCCATCTGTCCTCTGCTCGTAGTAAGCCGAAACCCGGTTATGCAGAGTCGGCGGTGTTCGTGTGCGAGTTTGTTGGCATGCCATTGCGAACGCCGTGTCTCTTCACGCACCGCCTCGTCTAGCGTTGTGACTTCCAGAACCGTGCGGAGGGCGGCCTCCTGGACCAGGCCTGTGTAAGGGCATTCGAGGGCTAGGTGCCGAGTGGTCTCGATTACAGTCTCTCCCCGGAGCAGGTAGCATAGGTCGCAGATGCCTCGCCGGCGCTGCTTGCGGCATCTGTGCGGTCCGAGCGGCAGAGCGTCCGCAAGGATGGAGTACGCGGTGTCCGACGTTGGCCTTGTTAGGTTGCAGTCGTGGATTGATCCGAAGATCGATCGTGCTATCCGCCCCTCGCTCCCCTCGTGTTCGCTCTCGGTCCCCTCGACGGTCCCCTTCTCCTCTCTGTCACTCTCCTCGTCTTCTTGTCCGTCGCCGTCGTTGTTGCTACGGGGGCCGTCAATTTCCACCGAGTCGACTGCGGCCCGCTGTGTTCCTCATAGATTAGCTTTTCCTGAATCATCTTCCTTGCCCACATCATCTGAAGTCGCTTAGCCACCTCTGCCCACATCATCTGAAGTCGCTTAGCCACCTCTGCCCACATCATCTGAAGTCGCTAACAAACGGGCGCGCGAAAAAAAGAATTAGAGACCACGGGCAGCGTGGCGCACAACTGAACCCTCCCATACGTGCTTGTGCTCCTCCTTTGCTGTCCCATCTCCTCATCTCTTTCCCGCCTGGGCGGGGCAGTGGGCGGGCGCGCGGTGCGGCGTGGCGTGTGCGTGTGTGCGACTGCAACGAAGGACCGCTCGCACCATTGGGTTAACCTCGAAGGCGCTCTCAAAAAAAAAAGCGGAAAAGTGTTAAAAAAGACGCCGTCGCTGATTTCTATGGCGTCGCTGCTGCTGTCACCCGACAGCCCGGCGCCGGAGGGTACCTCCGCCGAAGACGGTGGCGGAGGCGAGGACGGGGAGGACGCCGATGCTGCGACAGCCGAGAGCCGCGGCGTGGCTGGCGGCGTGGCTGGCGGCGTGGGACCGTGCGGAGTCGATGAGCTGCTGGAGTGCACACAGCCCGCGGCGGGTGCCTTATGTGCCGCTGAGCTGCCCGCCGCCCCGTGCTCCGGTACGCAGCTGCTGGATGCCGGTGTTGGCGCAGGCCAAAAGAGCGGCGGCGGCGGCGGCGGCGGCGGCGGCGGCGGGACCCCTCGGGGGTGGGGCGCATGGGGGCGTTCGTCGCTTGCGGCAACACGCTGCCACGCGCCCGCGAGACGGTTCTGGGCGTGGAGGGCGGGGACAGGGGTGGGAGGGTGGGACGGTGGGATCCGCGGACGGGGACCGGGACGGTTGAGGCTGTCAAGGGCCAGTACACGGACGCAGAGGGGAAGTGCCATGTGGAGGCGTTGCTCTTCGAGGAGTTCGGCGCAATGAGCGCGGGGGTGGAGGAGCTGCTGATGCGGGTGGCTGAGGTGGCGGGCCGGAAGCTCACGTGGTGGCAGTACGACCAGACGTCGTGGTCGGCGCGCGAATGGATGCCGTTTGCGCTGCAGCGACTGTCGGTGCAGCTCTGGGTGGCGCTCGCGGACGAGGCACAGCGCGCCATTGGTGCGGCGTCGCGCGACCGCGAGGGACCGCGGGGGAATGCTAGTGGGATGGGGGGCTCTGAGGGGAAGGGAGCGGGGGGCGCCCAGTAGGGCGCCGGCACCCCAGCGTAGAGGGCGTCGTGTAGCCCTCCTTTTGGTATAACACAAAAAAACGGGGTGTGCACCATGCGTGCTCGACCGGAAGACAGCGATCAGGGCGATCGCATTCTGACACCTTGCTGCCGTGCTCTGATGCTGTCCGTGCGCGTTTGCTTCGAGAAGTCGCTGCCCTGCCTCCACCGCCGCGAGGACACGACGGTTGCCGATTTCAATGTTGACGAGCGAAAGCTAGATGCGTGGTGCGCGTGGTACGCCTTCACCTGCGAGAAGCTCGAATTGAAAATGCTCGACGAGCAGCGTCTGCGCATGGGCATGTCGCCGCCGGGAATGCCTTCTCCGTTTGGGATGGCGTCACGGATCGCGCGGCGAGGGGTTGCGCCGCCGATGGACGGGCTGGAGAGGCCGGAGACGGGAGGTGGCGTCATAGCGCCCAGTCAGCGGGAGCTGCAGCGGGCCGTCGCGCGCCAGGAGCAGCAGCCGCGGCCGGAGCAGCCGCCGGCGAGTGCTACGCAGCCGCCATCGCCGCCCGGTGGCTTCCAGCCCTCCCGACAGCCTCCGCCTCCGACGGGAATGGGCTTCGGAAACTTCTCCTCCCGCTCTGGAGGGCCGATGGGCGGTGAGCAGCCACTTCCAAGACACCCGGCCACGACAACCCTGCTGATAGAGACACACCGCCGCACACGTCCGTGACACGCCTCCAACGCCGCCAATTCCGCCCGTTTGCAGGTGCAGGCATGCCCCCGCGACCGGGAGGAGGCATGCCTCAGCGGCATCTGCTGCGGCCGCAGGCGCCGCAGTTTCGCCGGGTGCGCCTCATCCCCTCCGGCCCGGCGGTGCACCCATCTTGCTCCGGGCCGAAAGCCTCGATCATACTGTTCGCCGTGCGACACGCGCGGCTGGCCCGCGTCGCCGCCGACAGCGAGCGGCGCATGCACGAGCAGAGGCTGCTGAGCCGCATCCGTCCGAGGCATCGCATCGACGCCCGCTCTTCTTCCAGTCCGAAGGCCGCAATGCTCGTACTAGCTTTGCGGCACTGGCGGCTGGCCGGCGCCGCTGACGCCTCCGGCATTCCTGGCGTGGACGAGAGGAAGCTGGAGCTGTGGCGCAAGCGCGGCGGTGGCGACCTCGAGCCGGTCCTCGCGAGCGGCGCCGTCGCCGTCCTCGACGCGCAGTGGGTCATCCGCCACGCCGAGGCGGGCGGCGTCCTCGCCCACCGCCAGGCGCTGCCCAAGGAGGCCTTCCTCTCCCTCGCCGACCTCGTCGAGGCGACCCCCGACCGTGGCAGCCTTCCCGTCGCCGCGCTCTCCTACCCGTGGCTGACCAAGGACCACCCCGACCCGCGCGGAGCCAACCTCGCCCGCGTCGCAAGGGCGCTGAAGGCCCTGCTCACCTCTCCGTACATCCCGCGGCTCGGCGTCTTTTGGGACTTCGGCTCGCTGCACCAGCACCCTGACCCCGCCAACGGCGTCATGCGCACCGAGGAGCAGAACGCGCTCTTCAAGCAGGGGCTGGGCTGCCTCGGCACGCTCTACTCCCACAAGTACACTTTCGTGCTGCGGCTGACCTCCTTCCCGGACGGCCACAAGGCGGAGGACCAGACCGAAGGCACCAACGTGGCCAAGTACTTTGACCGCGGCTGGTGCTACACGGAGCAGAGCTGGGCTGGCCTGACAAAGGCTGGCAGCCTCTCCCTCGACCTCGGCAAGATGCGCGCCGGCGTGGAGTACAGCTACGGCAGCCTCCGAGACGACTGCGTCCAGGACGGCGGCCGGCGCCCTCCGCTGCTGCCGTCTGCCTTCGCGGCGGAGCTGGAGAAGAAGAGCTTCACCAACGGCAAGGACGACAAGCCGCTGGTGAAGCGGCTGTACGAGGCCGCTTTCGAGGAGCAGTTTGGCAAGGCGACCGAGCTGTTCTACCGCGGCCTCGGCTGGGGCGACGCGGAGGCGGCGCAGGTGGCGGAGGTCCTCGCGAGCGGGGCAGCGCCGCGGCTCGAGAAGCTCGATCTCAGCTACAACGAGATTGGCGACGAGGGCTGCAAGGCGCTGGCCGCCGCCCTCAAGGAGGGGGCCGCCCCGAGCTTGAAGGCGCGAGACGCCTCCCCTCGCCACTCGCCCCTCCCCCGCCCAATGCTGATCGCACCTCCCCTCGCGTGCAGAAGCTCGAGGCGGGCTACAAGGACAGGAAGCAGCCTGAGCTGGTGGCCGTGTGCGAGGAGCGCGGCATCGACCTCTACTGAGCCTCTCCAGCCCCGGCCGGGCGGCAAGGGCGCGGGGCACAGCGGGACCGCCGCGCGAGCACGGCAGAGAGCAGCAGACCCTGCGGCGGCGGAGGATGACGCGCAGCGACGGTGCGGGCGCGCGCGGGTGCGGGTTTGGTGGGTGGATGGGCGGGTGGGTTGGGTGTTGATGTCACAAAGGGGGGGAGGGAGGGAGGGACGGCGGACAGGGGGGCGGGTGGGTTTGTGCGGCGGGGGGGGGGGGGGGGGGGTTGCTGTTGCAGCCTGACGCACAAGCAGCGGTGCACGGTGGAGGATCGACTTTGGCACGGTTAAAAATCTAGCTCTCTTCTATGATCTATCCCCTCCTGCCCTGGCCCTGCGGCTCAGACGCCTCAGGACAGAGCAAACGCGTGCGAGGCCGCGAGGACGGCGCGGAGCGCCTCGCACTCGGCGCTATCTCGCGGCGCGTAGAGGAAGACCCAGCCCTGCGGCGCAAACTGGAAGTGGGGCTGGAAGGCGGACCGGCAGCAGACCGGCGGCCCCCTCTCCGCCCAGCCGAGCTCGCACACTCGCCGCGCGTCTGCGGCGCGGAGAGGACGGCGTGCCAGGAGCCTGAAGTGCGAGGCAGCACCAACGTCGGGATACGGCGGCGTGAAGTGCATCACTGGTGTGATCTGGAACAAGCTACGCATACAGTCATCTCAGTGCGGAACACGACGGGATGCCGCCGGAGCACGTGTCGTCCCGAATGTGCGCGGGAATGCAGGGGCGTGTGAAGCGGCCGTGTGCGCGGGAATGCACGGCCGCATCTACCTGCATCTACCTGCATCTACCTGCATCTACCTGCATCTCTGGTTGATTAAGAAGGCCCGTGCGCAAACTCGCGCTGCAGCGCCCACACCTAGCCGAGGGTGCGGGTTAGGGTTAGGGTTAGGGTTAGGGTTAGGGTTAGGGTTAGCCCGCACCTAGCCGAGGGTGCGGGCCTGTTGCCGTGTGCGGGGGAGAGGTGGAGAGTGTGGTCGTCCGCAGCGCGTGCCTCTGGGCGGCGGCACTCGCGGCAGAGGAGGCCCCTGGGGAAGGGAAGGGGCGGGAGGGGAGGGAGGGGGAGGGGGAGGGGGAGTGGGCGGGGAGGGAGGGCGTGAGGGAAGACACAGGGGGAGAGAGTAGTCATCTTGATTCATTGAGGCACGGGACGGGGAGGCTCGAGGGCGAGAGAGCGCAGGAGGCGAGGGCAGGGAGAGGCGTCGGTGCGGCGCCTTGCCCCGGCGCCCTCGTTGGGCGAGAGCGCGACGTCGACCAGAGCGGCGCCTGGGGTGGCGGGGAGGGCGAATCGAGTGAGCTGCAAAACGCGGTGTGTGTGTGTGTGTGTGTGTGTGTGTGTGTGTGTGTGTGTGTGTGTGTGTGTGTGTGTGTGTGTGTGTGTGTGTGTGTGTGTGTGTGTGTGTGTGTGTGTGTGTGTGTGTGTGTGTGTGTGTGTGTGTGTGTGTGTGTGTGTGTGTGTGTGTGTGTGTGTGTGTGTGTGTGTGAATTCTACGCGTCGTCGCATCCTGCAAAGCTGCAGGCGACGGTACAGCAGTCGCTAGGGCCGGTGAGGCGGAGGTCTGCATCCGCGTCCTCGAGCAAGGCGCGCCACGGCTGCACCGACGCGCTCGCGAGCTGACTCGTCTGCCGCTGCGGGAGGCCGGCGGGGACGGACGGGCGGGCGCCTGCCCTGGGAGGAAGGGTCGCGGGCAGGAAGCAGGCGCCCCCAGACGCAAGAGGCGAGAGGTCGCGCACGTCCGGGCGCGCAACGAACTCGAGGTAGAGCGAGTAGAGAAAGGTGCGCCAGCCGTGCACGATGCCGAACGTCGGCGGCACGAAGCCGTGCTCCGGCAGCTCGCCAAGGCGGTCGAGGTGCTCGGCGCGAAGGTGTGGCACGCCGGCGAGCTCGGCGAGAAGCAACGCCGCCGACAGCGAGGGTAGGCACGCAAAGAGGAGCGCCACGAGCGCCGCCCAGATCGGATGCGGCCAGAGGTGGCAGGAGAGCGTCCTCAGCGACGGAGAGAGCTCTCGGCCGAGCGGCAGCGAGCCCTTTTTGCCCCACGCCGGCAGCGGCAGCGGTACGCGCGGCGCGGCGGGCCACCAGACGCGCGTTATCGCCGGACGGACGTTCGCCGGCAGGCCGCGACTCGAGGGCATCTGCCGGCGCTCGTCTGCCAGTGTGGCGCCAGAGTGGAGAGCTGGAGGCTGCATATTCAATTTGACGCCCTCGGCGACGTGGCGCAGAACGACGGCGCGGCGGGCCACCAGACGCGGCACAAGGAGGTCCTCCTGGACCTTGTCGAGCTGCTGCGGGGCAAGCTGGGGCGCGGCGCGGTGGAGCACGAGTTTCACTGCGAGCACAGCACTACGAGGACGGACTTGTACATTTACCAGGGCGTGACTGGGGACCTGCCCTGCATCGGCGACACGAAGATCTTTGCGGGTGTGCCGTCGGACCCCTCGGGGGTGGGGCGCATGGGGGCGTTCGTCGCTTGCGGCAACACGCTGCCACGCGCCCGCGAGACGGTTCTGGGCGTGGAGGGCGGGGACAGGGGTGGGACGGTGGGACGGTGGGATCCGCGGACGGGGACCGGGACGGTTGAGGCTGTCAAGGGCCAGTACACGGACGCAGAGGGGAAGTGCCGTGTGGAGGCGCTGCTCTTCGAGGAGTTCGGCGCAATGAGCGCGGGGGTGGAGGAGCTGCTGATGCGGGTGGCTGAGGTGGCGGGCCGGAAGCTCACGTGGTGGCAGTACGACCAGACGTCGTGGTCGGCGCGCGAATGGATGCCGTTTGCGCTGCAGCGACTGTCGGTGCAGCTCTGGACGGCGCTCGAGCGGACGAGGCACAGCGCGCCATTATTGGTGCGGCGTCGCGCGGCCGCGAGGGACCGCAGGGGGGGGTAAGCGGGATCGGGGGCTCTAAGGGGAAGGGAGTGGGGGGCGCCCAGTAGGGCGCCGGCACCCCAGCGTAGAGGGCCTCGTGTAGCCCTCCTTTTGGTATAATAAAACCGAGCCGGCGAGCGAGGTTCCGACCAACCCTTCTCGAGAAAAGAATTTTGCGGCCACGCACGACAATAGGCAGCGTGCCGTCCTCCCATCCCTCCCTTGGGTTGTCCATCTTCTTTCTTTGTTTTACACTAGGCACGGGACTGGCGCGCACTAGCACTAACATCTTGATTTACCAACAATGCCCTTACTACACACAGGGGTTCGAGAAAAGAACTTTCCTACGTACTCGCTCGTTACACTCTCGAGGTATCGCAGTCGGCCCCGAAAGGCTTTGTGCCACCACAGCAGCATGCGCAAACGCCGCACCATCCTCGTCGTCGGCGACTCCTTCTGCGACGTCAACGCCGGCCCACTGCCGCGCCTCCCAGAGTGGGGCCGCAACGTCGTCTCGCCAGAGCGGATCCTAGCCCAGCCAGGCGGAGCCGCGCTCAACGTCGCCTGCAACCTGCAGCGGCTCCGAGGCGACACCGCTCTCTACTCGGGCATCGGTGAGCCGCTTCCAATCAGTCCGACTTCACACGGACACCACCGACTCGACAGGCGGATCGACTCTCCTCCTCTCACACGGTGCATCTCTGGCCCAGGCCGCGATGCGTTTGGCGACATGCTGCGCGTCCACCTCGACTCGCTGGGTGTTCGGCTGATCGAGGCGCGTTCGGGACTGTTGTAGACACCTGCCACCAAATGATGTGTGCTTCCCGGGCAGGCTTAACACTGGCCTGGGACGTAGCGGTGGATGCCGGCTAGACGCTTCGGCACTGCCCTGCTTCGACATTGCCCGGCTAGACGCTTCGACATTGCAACGCGCTCCTTCAGGCGGACTCGGACGAGGACGCGCCGACCGGCGTCTGCATGGTCCAGATTACCCGAGATTACCCGAGATTACCCGAGATTACGGCGTCTGCATAGTCCGAGGATCGGGTATCTCGGGTGATCTCGGGTGATCTCGGCTAATCTCGGGCACGCAGCACAGGTCCTCTCCGGCCCCGACGACCGCGCCTTCTGCTCCCACTTCGGCGTCTCGGACGCCTTCGACGCGTCCGCCCTCGTCGCCGACGGCGCCGCCTTGCTCCGGCGGTTGGGGCCTTGCCATGTCCACTGCGCGGGCTACTTCTCCTGCGCGGCGCTGCGGAAGACTCTCCCTCGGCTGCTGCTGGCGGCGCGAGAGGTTGGCGCCACGACAAGCCTCGACACTAACAACGACGCGAGCGGACAGTGGGGCGCCGTGGACGGCCTGTGCGATGCTCTCTTGCCGCCGCTAGACTTCTTCACGCCTCTGGCTGTAAACAGGCGCCGTCGACGGCTTGTGGGATGCACTCTTGCCTCTGCCGGATCTCCGCGAAGAGGTGTGAGCAGCGCCTCGTCACGGCTTGCTCTGAGATGCACACAGGTCCTCTTGCCGCTGCTCGACCTCTTCACACCGAACGAGCTCGAGGCGTGCGCCGTCGCGGGCGTGACTATTAGTTAATTAACCCTACGAGGGCGTCACTAGTGATTAATTAACGAGCTCGAGGCGTGCGCCGTCGCGGGCGTGCCGGCCGGCGACGTCGAGGCCGCCCTCGCCCGGCTGTCGCGGCAGGTAAATTAGTGAATCGCTAATAATGAATTAGCTCTCGCCCGGCTGTCGCGGCAGGTAAATTAGTGAACACCAAAAATTAATCAGCTCTCGCCCGGCTGTCGCAGCAGGTAAATGAATGCATTTAGTTAATTAATGATTCACTAATGACTGCTGAAAAATTAATTAGCTCTCGCCCGGCTGTCGCAGCAGGTAAAGCAAGACTGATTACTCTTTAATAAGCTCTCGCCTGGGTCGCGGCAGGTAAATTAGTGAACACTAATTAGCTGTCGCGGCAGGTCGGCGGCAGCGTCGTCATCACGCGCGGGCGGGACGGGGCGAGATATACCCGAGATATACCCGAGATATACCCGAGATATACCCGAGATATACGCGAGATATGCCCGAGATATACCCGAGATACGGGGCGCGACGGCCGGCGGTCGGTCGACCCGAGATCTATCCCGAGATGTACACGAGATCTATCCCGAGGTGTAGGCGCTTGTCGGCGGGCGGTCGGTGGAGACGAGAGCTGTCTCCGCTCCGCCGGTCGTCGCTCGCGACGCGGTGGGCGCTGGCGACGCCTTCAAGGCCCCGCCCGCGCCATGACTAGTCAATTAATGTTTACTTCATTATTCATGAACGAGTTGGCGACGCCTGGCCAGGCTGGCCTGCTCGCTTGCTTCGTCTCTGGAGCAGACCTGGCCGAGGCGGCGCAGTACGGCTGCCTCACCGGCGCTAATTAATATCAAGTGGAGCTGATGACAGCTTAATATTTAATTAGGCGGCGCAGTACGGCTGCCTCACCGGCGCTCTCTGCGTCACGACACGCGGCGCCTGCTCGCACCCTCCCGCCGCTACACCTCGGCTGCATCTCGGCTGCATCTCGGCTGCATCTCGGCTGCATCTCGGCTGCATCTCCCCTGTCCAGGCGCCTGCTCGGACCCTCCCGACGGGGCGCGTGTCGCCGCCTTCGCCGCGCAGCATGGGCTCTCCTCGGTCGCTTCCGCCCTCCCGGCTTGCGGCGGCTCGAGCTCTGCTGCAGACGGCGACGGGCAGCAGCAGGAAGAGGGGCGGAGCGAGCGGGAGGAGCGGGCCGCTGTGCCTGCTGATGACTGATTGTTCCTAGTCCATGGATGGTTGATAGTTGGTAGTAGGAGGGGTTCCTGTGGTGGACCTTTGCGCTGTTGTGGTTGGGAGGTACCTGGCCGTCTAGAGCAGAGGCAGCTGTCACGTTTGTTGATGCTCGGTGAGTACTTGCTGATTACCGTCAGGCACCTGGCCGTACCAGAGCATTCTTCAGGCCCAGGCCTACTACGAGGCAGAGCTGCCCGGCCTCTCACATTAGTTAGTCAATCAATAACTATAATTGACTAATCACGAGTTCGAGGCGGAGCTGCCCGACCTCGCCTTTCTCGTGCTGATGACCTTCTCGTGGCCGCTCGTCGCAGGGCACGCGGCGCAGGTCCTCTCGGGTAATCTCGGCTAATCTCGGGTAATCTCGGGTGATCTCGGGTGATCTCGAGCACGCGTCGCAGGTCCTCTCCTGCTTAGATAACTAATTGCTTGCTGGATTCATGATTAATGAAGTAATCCGCAGGTCCTCTCCGGCGCCGCAAAGGCCGCCCGCTTCTCCGCAAAATCATCGTTGTCTTATTTAGTAATGAGTGATCACTTATTATGAATGAGTCAGGCCGCCGGCTTCTCGCGGCGCGTCCTCGGCGCGTGTTGCGTCAACGCCGCCGTCGGCGTCGCCTTTCTGCTGCAGGACGCGGCGCCTCTGTTCACACCTCTGCTTCACACCTCCTCTTCACACCTCCTCTTCACACCTCTGCTGCAGGACGCGGCGCCTCTGTCGCCCGGCGGCCGGCGAACCGCGATGACTATCCTCGCGGCCCTCGTCGCGCTGGCGCGGCTGCTGCGCTCTCGAGCTTCTCTCGGAGATCGCCCCGGAGATCGCGCGAGATCGCCCGAGATTAGGCGCAGCTGCTGCTCGAGCCGGCCTTGTTCGGCCTCGCCACGTGCTCTCCCCGCGGCAGCGCCACGCAGGCGAGGATCTCCCGAGATCGCCCGAGATCGCCCGAGATCGCCCGAGGTCACCGGAGATCACCGGAGATGAGGCAGTGCCACGCAGGCGATGATGGTGGGGAACGCGTCCGCCGGCGTCGTCGTCGTCGCGGCCAGCGCGCTCACGCGCCTCGCGGCGGGTGGCGCGGCGCCGTCTGGCGCGCAGCTCGGCATCGCTGCGCGCGCCTTCTTCGGCCTGCAGGTGGCGTCGAGCGCCGCGTCGTGCGCGCTCTACCTCGTGGCGCTGCGCCGCTCGCCGCGCCTCCTCGCCGCTGCCCGAGGAGCGGGGCGACGAGGAGCCGCCTCGAGCGCCTCTGCGATTGGCTCGCCGCTGCTGACGCCGGACGTGGCGCGCGGCGCGGGCGAGGCGCCGCCACGCTCGGGGTGGCGAGAGAGGGGCGCTGCGGTGCGCGCCGCGGCAGGCGCGGTCTGGCTGCCGGCGGCTTGCCAGGCGCTCTGCTTTGGCACCACGCTCGCCGCTTGGCCGAGCATCCCCGGCGCCGCGTGCGTCGAGGGCGGCCTCGCACGCTTGGGCCAGGGCTGGTGGTTCACGCTCGTGGTGCTCGTGTACAACGTCGTCGACTTCGCCGCCCGGCTGCACCTCCCCCTCCTGCAGCGGCTCGCCGCCCGCGCTCGCCCGCGCTCTTGCCTCGCTGCGTGCGCCGCCCGCACGCTGCTGGTGCCGCTCATCTACGCGTGCGTCCGCCCGCGCCTTGTCCACGGCATGGGCGGCAACGTCGTCTTGCTGCTCGCCACGGCGCTGCTCGCGCTGAGCAACGGCGTCCTCGCCACCGCGTCGATGATGCAGGTCGCGCGACTCGCGCCGGAGGAGCTGAGGGAGGAGGGGGTCGACGTCGCCGTCGCGGGAGTCTACTTCGGACTCGCGGCGGGCGCGACCGTCAGCTGGGCGGTGGGGCGGGCGATGCAGCTGCCGCTCGCGTGTGGGTGAGTGTACGGCTGTGTAGTGGAAGGTAAAGCCGTAGCAGATTTGCATTTGGGGGGATTAGAGCATAGAGGGGATCCGATGTGACTCGTGTGAGATCAGGTACGTCAGTATGAATTACAATTGGAGTGTAAGAGAAAAGAGCAACAGCAAGGTCGAAAACCGAGGAGTGCACAGGTGAGTGCTCGCGCGGAGCCACCGGTGTTCTGACTATTTTTACACACACGCCCACTCCGTCAGGGGCGCGGGCGGCGACCGGCCGACCCCCGTCCCCCCCATCTACAGATGATATGCGCATTCTAGATGCCAAACGCCACAATCTAGGATGCGTTTTCCATCTAAAGACACCGGGTGTCTCCACTATGATTCCGTTCTCCAAGAAGATTTAATCATCTTTAGAGAGCGGGCGAACCACTGATCGAGTACTAGCTTCCGCACGGGCTAGTTCCATTTCACTCTGACACGCTAATCTTGAAAACGTCCAACGGAGCTCCGTGTTGCTCCCAGCGCCCTCCCCCGCGCTTCCTGCGGCCATGGCCGATGATACTAGTATGAGAGGTCATCTGGCTACCGCGAGCGCGACTCAACTCGTCGACATCGTCCGATGATTGTGCCTCAAAGTCAGCCTCCGGAGGCTATCGTGGGGTCGAGCCGGCAGTAGCCGTGACATGTGGTTCCACCACCCCTCGTATGCTTTGCCTCTGACCGCCACCGTTCCCAGGCTGCCAAATGGGATGGAAAGGAAGGCTCGGCGAGCGTATAGAAGCGTGCTCGACCTCGTCGTGGCAGCCTGCACGGCAGCGCTGGTAGGCGCGATGAGCGTCGTGCCACCTGACCCGAGACGGGTCGCAGGCGTCGTACCGAGCGCGTCGAGACCGTGTCCTGATGTGATCTGCACGGGTGAGTCACGTCGGCGTCAAAGGAGCGACGTGCGACCTGTCAGAGCTTGAATCTCCGATCTCAGCGGCGTCGAGTCGTCTCCGGCGCGCGACAAAGGTACATCCCCAGGACGCACAGAGGCAGCTGAGATTGGAGATCAAGCTCTGACAGGTCGCACGTCGCTCATTTGACGCTGACGTG